TCGGAAAAATTTATCAAAGAGATGTGATGTTTTCATAATTCATGTACATACTTCTACAGTTTTCAGTACTCTTTCTAATGATGTATATTCAATCTTGGATAACATAAATTAGCACAATCTAATGAGTCAATTTCAATGGATGAGTACAAGTCATTTTCATTTCATTTGAAAACATCACCAAACAATTCAGCACAACTTTTTATCCATGTCTGAGTAGTTTTTATGCAGAAATTCTTAGTGGGCCGATTTGTGATCTTATGCGCTTTCGTCCTTTCACATCCCAGGTAAAATACATTGTGAAGTTTTTTGTATGTATATGGTACTAATAAATAAAACCAATGGTTTTATCCAGGTTTAAAACTCTAAGAGAACCAAATCAATCTACAGAGAGCCTCACATTAGATAACAACTAGTACATATAAATAAAACACTTCACAAAGATGAGAAAAATTCATATTAATATAATAATGTTTATAGATTTCCACAAAAAACAAACATCAGAGTTATTTATTATGAAATTTTAATCTTTTAATTATAGTTGGATTTTGCTCGTCAACATATTGATTATCATATGAAAAAATTCGAATTAGAAAAATGCAATGTTGAATTTATTCAAGGTGAAATTGATGAATTAGAAAAAGCAAATCTTAAAGAAAATTCAATTGACGTTATTGTGTAAGTTAATAACAAAGAAGAAAACAAAAAACTAAATCTATCTTAAAATTAATAAATATTTATAGATCAAATAGTGTTATTAACTATCGAAGAAATAGAAAAGCAATTATCGAAGGTGTTTGCAAATTACTTAAAGTAAATACTAATATAGTTTTATCAAATAAATAAATTATTATGAATTGGATTTTTTTTTCTTTTTAGCCTGGTGGAGAATTTTATTTTTCGGATGTTTATGTTAATCGATCAATACCTGAAGAATATCAAGAATTATTATCCGGTCAGATATTCATTTATTGACTCTTTGTTTTTTGATGTTAAAAGATAATAATCATCCTTTTTTTTGTTTTCTGAATACATAGGCGAATATGTTGGTGGAGCTCTTCGATGGGAAGATTTAATATTATATGCAACAGAAGCAGGTTTTACTCAACCACGTTTAGTTACAGCTAAACCAGTAACAATTATAAATGAAGATATTCTAAAAGCGATTGGTAATACAATCGAAATTGAACTTTTGAAAATATGTTTTTTTGTTTTGTTTTGAAGGTAAAGCAAGATTTGTAACAGCTATATTTCGTTGTTTTAAATTACCATTCAATGATAATGATACAACACAATTTAATGTACCATATCAATTAACTTATGAAACACCTTTACCTAGCTGTGAAGAAGAATTTTTCTTTGATCATTTAATTCAATTTAAAGTAATCAAAAAAACAAGAAAAAAATATTGATGAAATAGATTCCTTTTTTTATTCTTGTTCTTAGCCTGGCGAATTATTGGTTGTAAATGATCCATCAATTGCTCTTGCATTGAATGTATCACGATATAAAGACAACTTTATTTTTGATCCAATTGAAGATACAAATATGGGAACGACTACAATTGAAACTATTGAAGAAGTAATTATTATAAAAATATTCTTGTCTAGAACGATGAATATGAAATCCATATTACATGTCTCACGATAGAAAAGTCTCTAATTGCTTTCTTTCATTAAATCTAGTAGGTTATAGATAATCGACCACGCTGATAAAATAATGTTTTATAGTTAACATGACGTGCTCTATAATCTCAATGGAAAAAAAAATGTTTCCACTAGGAAAACTGATTTTCCAGAAAATCGATCTCTAGAGTCCTGGTCGTCAGTCTCATATTGATAATCGTAATGCACATAGTCGATTGTCTATAATTCACTGGATCAGATTTTTCTGTCTGAAATTCATGTTGATAGAGTTGAATTCATTAGGAATGTAACGATGAACGCGTGACAAAATTACGATGTTCTTTAATACATTTCGACTTTTTTCGGTCGGGAGGAGGGACTCTGTTTCAAGAAAATAGGTCAAGCGTGAAAACTATGCATTTTCTTGAACGAGAATTTCGATAAATCTCTGATCGAAATCATATTAAGACCATCTAGATTTCACTGTTAGATAATTTTCTTATCTGTTCATAAGTTAATTGTTTTTTTCATTATCTCCAAGAAATCATTGGCATTATTCGATTTAATATCATACACTAATTTTTCTTTAACAAAAGTTTGTATTAAGAATGAATATAAGGAAATACCATGTTTAGAAAATATAAAAACTATCGATTTTAATTAACTCTATTTGACTGAAAAAGCCCAGTGTTTTTTTTTTCTACAGAAATAATTTCTTATTAGTCATTAAACTATACAGAAAATTGTTCCATCGTTTGAGAATAATTCGAAATGATTTATGACTTTTCATATAGAAAAGAGCATCTCTAGACACAAAATGATTCAGATTCATAGTTCTTCTCTACAGTATTAAGACAGTATTGATAGAATTTTCTATTATTCTAATAGATTAAGTCAAAATAATTGCTTTCTTGTTTAGATATTTAAAAAGTTTGCACTTTTATCTGAGAGATACATAAACCAAATTTTATCAGAAAACTTGACTATCTCTGATAAATATTTTGAAGATATCATCGTAAGGTCATTTGTATTTTTTCAAACAGTTAATCAATTAAATACTCTTGATTTTAGATATGAGTAAAAAAAAATTGAAATAAACGTAAATTATAATAAAAAATTTGATAAAACATGCATCAATTTGCAGTTAAAATATCATTAAAAAGAAACAGAAAGATACTGTTTCATAATTTGTGTAGTACTCTAGAAATTTAAAGACAATTGCTAATGTTCGACATATTTAAATGCGTACAATATATTTGATCCATAAAATAAAAAATGAAATGATCAGTATGTTAAGTACTTAGAAAGTTTACTAACAATCAATTAAATTCAAGGATAAACATAGAAATTGAAGTGCGTTATAGTATGATTCATTATTTTCGTTTTCGCTTTCTTTACTTCATTGTATCATGTGGTAGTATTGTATGACATACATGTAAACACTGTTTGCTTCTATCGTTTCCTCCGACTTTAGCATAGAGTCCACAAGTAAAAAAGATCAATGTGATTACAAGTTATTCAATATACGCATATGATGTATCCGATTGGAAGAAATTATGAAAATGAAAGATCTTACCAAAAAAAAAAAAACAAAATCGAACTATTAAGTTAACGAAACTACATTTAACAATGTTGATCAAGAAGAAGAGCAGATACAGAACATGGGAGAACAGTTTATTACAAATGCAACAAAGTCAAGCATGTTGTGGACTTTAATTAATGTAGAGCAAGTATTTATCTTCTATATCATATAGATAGTGAAAAAAAAAGTTACTGTTTTGTAAAGCTGAATCTGAGTACAATAATCATAAGAGTATGTAGGTGTGAATGAAATAAAAATCTATACCCTATTTTATAGAGATAAGACAAAAAAATACCTGTTTGTATAATCTCTGTAGAATTAAAATGCGAAACACGATATAGCTGCTGTTGCTTATCGTAGGACGATTGTTTTATTCTATCTATGTTGATATATATTTCTTCACCATCGTTTTATTTAAACATTGAAAAAAACAATACAGTACCTAGCAGCGTCCGACATGGATCAAATTTTTGTGACCCGACACGAGTCGGACACTGAAGATAATAGTTCATATATTATAATGAGACTTTATTAATATACGATCTTTGATTGTATATTAACAACGTTCATGACAGTCTCTAGCAAATGTGTGCGAGAGGTTCAAATTTGTTACTCCTTATAGATCGTGTTTCGCAAGAAAAAATTTTACTAATAAAATCTATATTCTTCTTTTTTTTTTGGTATTCATTATACAGAATGATCCAAAAGTAGTTCGGCAGTCTTTGATAGGAACAAGATAGAGAGCTGCAGTTTTCACTGTTCGAAAAAGGAGATGAAGATGCATCGAACTGTATAATATCAGATAATTTGACTTAGGTTTTTTAAGGACTTAAACTGACCTACTTCGTAAGGTGACTACACTGAGTTTTTTATGATTAGGTGTGTATTCGAATCGCTAGTCAAAAACTGTGCAATGTCCAGACTTTGAAAGTTACTATTCGAAATTCTGAATCGATTTTTCGATCAATTGCTGTGAAAAAAAATCACATTGTTGCGTTTTTCTGATTTTATAAGAAATCATTTTTTTCCGCCAATGTTTTTAGAAAATTGATTAATATCGTAGAAAAACCTATAATATATGATTCAATGTATCTTCATCCATTCTTTCGGATGGTGAAAGTCACAACTCTCTATCTTGTTCCTATCAAAATTTATTCGCAATCCAAGACTACCGGGACTGTTTTTGGACAATTCTGTATATAATAAACTGATCATTTTATAATGAAGTGTACTGACCATTCAATAATATATACTGATCATTTCTTAAATTACAGTCATTATTAATTTGTTGTGTTTATAAGTTTTAATGTTATTAGATATTAGTTTAAAAGTAATAAGCTACATGATAAACATCGTAATTGCTTAGTTTAGACTTAGACCTAATACTATTACTAGTGACATCTATGTGAGAATACATCAAATATTGAAAATACCGGTTTTACTATATTTCGGCTTCATTATCAAAAAGTTAATGAAATATTCATAGACGTTAAATGTTCAATCTTTATATATATATCCAAAAAAGATGAATAATTCTTATATTCATTTTTCTTTTTATAGTTACAAGGTGGCAATGATGATCAAACTAAAATCTATCGGAAAACAACGACGATGACAACAACGATGACATCAAACGATTAACATTTATAATACCAAAAAACAAAACAAATGTAGATAATAAGAGAAAAGACTCATTGAACTGTTGTTTGCTATGCCGGTGTGTTCATTTTCTTCCGTTCTTCTATAAAAAAAAAAACAACACATGATTAATTCAGCTTGATGTTTGCTCATAAATATATTATCAGATATTAAAGAAAAAAAACAAAAAAAAAGAAACAAACATTCTTTTAGATATGTCTATCCTATTCTTTTCATCTAATAGATCGTATATAATTTGTCGTCATTTATCTACATTTATTGTACGTCAAAATTCTAATCAATTATTATCAAATTTAGCTTATATTTCAATACAAAGAAAAATTAATCATTATAATAAACGTAGTATTACACTAAATACACCATCAAATAATGAAAAACAGACATCAACTATACAAAATAATAAATTACCTTTTCAATTTCCACCTGGTAAACCAAATGATCAACCAACAATTGAACATTTACGTTATATTGAAAATCAACTTAAACAAATCGTAAATAAATTATTTATTGTCATACTTTTTTTTTTTCACATATAAATATTCTTTTTTCAGTTACCAGATTTTTGTAAACGAATGCATCCATATGCTCTTTATACAGCTGATATGACTTTTGAAAATTATTATCAAGATCCACCAAAAATTATTAAGTATGCAAAGCAAAAAAAAAACTAGATTTCAAAAACGAATAAATCAATTAAATATAATAAAGAAAAAACTGATTATCTTTTTCTTTTCTTGAACAACTCCTGTGACAATCATTTAATAGATTTATTATTTGAATATAGTCAATATTTGTTATAATTTGTATTCGACGATTGCTTTTTAAAGTCTAACATTTTTTTTTATTGATATTTGATGATAAGTAAGGCAAAAATTTTTACATTGATTTTTAGTATAGCGTAAGAAGAAAGCTATGTAAAAATATTGAAAGCTTGTAGAATTTACAAGAAAATGTCTCAGAAAGTTGTTCTTATTTTATGTTTTTTTATTAAGTTTTATAACACTACGATAAAACATTGTAAAGAGATAAAAAAAATAAAATAAAATTGTGAAGTTATCGGTTGAGTTCGAAGTCGACTTTCACTTTCGAAAAATAAAATTACCTTTCAGTAGTCGAACTTATTCAAAACTCCATATTTTATATACAATTTTGAGTTTAATAAAGACTCAACAAAAACAAAATATTAGATATTATAAGAAAAACTTCATTGGACACTATGCAGAATGAATCAAATTTCTTATCAAAAACTGTTATCTGTAAAACCTATAGTTTTGTGATTCAAATATTTTAATATTACTACATTGATTACACTCCTCACATAACGTGTTTAAACACAATATGAAATAATGAGAGGCTAAAGAAGTTCTACTTATGAATACATAAATAAATAAACTAAATAATAATCATTTGTATAATCGAACTACGGTGTTCTCTATGTTAGACACAACTGTTGTATACTCAACGGAGTTAATGTACGAGAAATATATTGTATTTTTACACATTATAACAGTAGATGTGTCAATAAGGATACAATATTACAAAGTATGTTGCTTTCCATTTAGTTAATTATCAAGTTGGAGAAAGGCAAACATTGCATTAGGAATGATTTCTAAAAGAGTATGACATAAACAAAAAAATAATGTTTTCAGATAGAGGTCAATGTCAAGTATCCTACACTCATATTGACACATTAAAGAGGACTTGATGATTAAGATTTAAGTTTATTATGAATTCTTATCTATGAAAAAATGATTTAAATTTTAAATTGAAATTCTTGGTAATTAATTTTTTGATAAATTACATATTTACATGACTTATTATAATTTTGTAATTATCGAGAATAAAATAGAAATATGACAAGTTAACCTTATGAATTAATCGATTAAATCTTTTTAAATGAACTTTAGATGATTTACAAATTTGTTTTTAGAAACTTTCATATGAAATTGTTACATACATATGAAAAAAAAAATGATAGCAAATCTATTCCAGAAACTCTTGTCTATTAGAATAAGAAAATAGAAATGAACATTCCTATGGGTTTTTCTTAGCGAAAAAAAAGCAATTTTGAAGAATGCTTATAGTTAAAAATAGATTATTTTGTGAAGGTTTGAAAACTAAAGAGGTTTCATGAAATATGTTGAAATAATCTTTATCCTTCATTCTGTCAACAATAATAGTCTTTTTATATAAGAAAACTAAATGAGTTTAATTTTAGAGGAGCTGGTAGTTATGCTTTGTCATTATTTTGGATTCGATTAAAATTAAATTTTAAATTAATGAATTTAACTATTCAATTACTTAAAACAACTATTGATGAAGAATCAAATTGTGTTAAAATTCGTTGGCGTATATCAGGTCTAACAAATAAATCGTTTATTGGTATTCTTAAAGGTTGGAAACAACCACGAGATGTAGCTGGAAATATACGTGATTATGTTGAGTAAGAATTTGAATATTCTAAATCTTTATTAATCTTCTTTTATCAAAGATATATTGATGGTCTTTCAACATTTTATGTACGTGGTGATGGTCGAATATATAAACATCGTGTTGATCGAGTAAATTAATTCATATTTTCCATTGTTCCTTTTTATTTAAAAAAAAAAACTTTCTTTTTTAAGGTTACAGTCGATGAAGACGATGAATTTACTAAAAAAATTATGAAATAAAACGAATTAACTGTGACATTAACTGTCACTTTTACAGCTATTTTAAATAGTACATGATAAACAATGTGTGCTGTTGTTTTGTTTTTCAGATCAATTATTTGTTATTGTTATAGATTATTTAATTAGTTGCATTTATTATATATCCAATAAAAAGGAGGTAAATAAAATAATGTCGTTTTTTTCATGTCCATTTGACATGCTTACTAGTCCATGTAAAAAAATGATTGTGTTTTGTTTTTCTCTTGAGACTAATGTTATGCTTGTAAAATAGTGGAATTAAATGAGACTCGCATGTTTTGCCTCGTATTTTTTCTTTTATATAGTGCTCGTCAAGTAAAGAAAAACAAAGGAATGTTGCATGCACGATGAAAACATTCTTGCATGATAATTTTGTTTTTCCTTTTGTTTTTTCTCTCTCTTATGGATACGTGACGTAAGTTAAGTGTTTAATATTAATTATATTTATCCAAAAATATCATTTAACAATATAGATTTTTTAAGAATTTTTGAAATCACTTCAATAAGAAATTTTTCTTTTGTTTTTTGATGGCAACAAATCGTGCTCCAGACGTGGGACATCAGTTAATGGATAATATCAAAAATACTGTACTCATACCAGTACGATTAATAGAACGAATTATACCAGATATAATATTAAAAACCCTTTCTACTGGTGGTAAGATTTACTAGAACTAATCATACACACACACATCAACTATTTAATACTGACATACATACTGCTGTAGATATACATTTATATATCTTCAGTTTTGCACTCTGTATTGTGTGTTTAGTTTATATAACAATAATCATGAGCGACCTTTCGAGTGTCACACGATATTTTCACCAAAATATGAATAAGAAAAGAGAAGAAAAAAGAAGAAAACATTCTTTTTTTTTCGAATCGTTCTTCCATATTACCGCATTCTGACTCTATCTCATTCTACTTGTTTGCGTTGTTCTGTTATTTTGCATCTATTTTGTTGTCTTCAACTCTTTCTCTTGTTCTTTACGTCTTTTGCCGTCGATAACTAAACTAACAGAGATGCCACATCGTATGCGCAAGATTGTTTCGAGATGTCGTCCACCATTTATTGGAACACGTCGTAATCAGCATAAACATGGTCCTACTTATTATTGTATGTGTCACAGTAGTTTAACTTGTTTTTTTTTTTCGTCTTCTTCTATTTGATGACAAAGACAATATTGATTATCAACAGTCAATATCATTATTTGATCCTTCATTTTTTTTTTACTTTCTTTTATCAATTATGAAAGATCGTACATATATTAGAATCAGTTACTTTCTTAGAAAAACTTTTGCTTTTATTTTAATCTTCATCTAAACAAGCTTTTTAATTATCATATGCTTTGAATAAAACGTATGTGACTTTCTTTTAACTCAAAAAATTACTCTGTTTAAGTGACTATTATCATTACAACAGCTGCTTTAACAATATATAAAAATATCTACAAAAAAAAAGGAAATGAATAATAAGAAATCTTTTTTTATTTTATTTTTATTTTTAGACTCCAACAACAATAACATAAGTACTAATTCTGTCACGATTATTTCTGATGATGTTCAGACGACAAATAATTCTAATCTAACATTAAAATATTCCCCTCAATTATCAACTCATTCCAGTAATAAAGATTGTGGTAAATACTAAAATTAAAAAAAATTAATGAATAACATAAAAATAGAAACATTCAACGTTCTTTTTTTTCCCTAAAATAGATAGTCAACCTATTTCATTATCATCAAATTATCCAGCAATATCAAATACAATGCAAAATACAGCTAGTTCATCTAATTTAGGTGCTATAGGTACGGGTATTGTACCACCACCAATGCATTATCAACAACAACAACAACCGCAATATATGCAATCAACAACACCATCAGTTGCTAATGGAAAAGATGAAATGCGTGGATGGTTATATAAATGGACAAATGTAAACAAAAACATAATAAATAAATGAATCTTTTCTTTTTTGTTTGTTTATTGCTTTAGTATTTAAAAGGTTATCAAAAACGTTGGTTTGTTTTACAAGCTGGAATCTTATCATATTATCGTTCACAAGATGAAATGACTCATACATGTCGTGGTACAGTTTATCTTGAATCAGCACAATTATCATCAAATGATTCATGTCATTTTGTTATATCAAATGGTTCAACTATAATACATTTACGTACAAATAATGAAAATGATAAACAACGTTGGATGAATGCATTAGAATTAGCTAAACAAAAAGCAATAAAAGTACGTAAACAATATCAAGATTCAGATGATGAAGGATTAATAAATGATGATTTAAATAAACAACAACATTCAAATGATCAAACAAAACAAACAACAGATCGAGTTGAATTAGCAACAATGAATAAAACATTAGATGCAAAATTAGATGATCTTAAAATGTGTATGGATTTAATAAATCGTCATTATCAAGCACTTCATCGAACACTTGCAGATCTTGAACAAATTGATAAATCCGAAGCAACTATAATTACAATTAAAAGTGTTAATGAACGTGCTACATTATTTCGTATTACATCAACAGGTAAACAAGTATATTCATGATGAATTGGTCTTTTTTTTCTTGGTGACTTTCATCTGTTAGAAGGAAGAGATAATATAAAGAATAAAGAGAAAGATGGTTTTTTTTAATTTCTGAGCACTTATAAGTAAACATGTAATTTAACACTATTTCATTTATTGGAGTATTTCATTTCAGTAAAGTATTTAAATACAATGAACTTTTAATCACTAAATCCTGTTTGTCTAATATTTATAATTAAATGATTTATTTCTTTTATGTGAATATTTTATCAATCTTTTATTCTCTAAGATGAAAAGTAAATTATTTGTTCTTTTTAAGCAATGCTTAATGCATGTCAAGAATTAGTACAAATAATTCAAAAACAAGGTCGTAAATGGCAAAAAGCTATTCAATTTGAACGTGATGCACGTATACGTATGGAACGTATGTGTGAACAAGTTGCATCACAAAGTGCAAAATTAGAAAAAAAAATACAACGCGCATCACGTAAAGATCAAAATGCAATAAAACCATCTGATATACGTAATACTAATGAAGATAGTCATTCATCTGATAGTGACGAATTTCATGATGCTGAAAGTGTTTTTCGTATTCCGTATGTTAAAAAAAAAACAAGAACATTTTCAACAATTTGTATTTCATTTTCTATAGATTTCAACAACATACAGCAAATAATGAAAATCAACCAACACATATTGTTGATGATGATGATAGTTCATATGGTGATGAGGATGATGATGAAAGTGAATCAGAAGAACAAGAAGAAGAAAATTTACCTGTAGTTATTGTAAAAAGTATGTTTAAAACTATTCTTTATTCTACTATAAATGATAGACAAAAAAACAAAACTCTTAAGGATCAAAAAAATCCGATACAATGAATCATATTCCATCACCAGCACCTGTATTTAAAACTACAAATAATATTCTAAAATCTACTATACCAAAACGTAAACGTCGTGATCGTATTCCCGAACGTCCAAATCATAGGTTTAACTTTGTTTTTTTTTTAATTCATAATAAAAAAAAAATGAATAAGATTTTTTTATATTTAGTATTAATTTATGGAGTATAATAAAAAATTGTGTTGGAAAAGATTTATCAAAAATTCCCATACCAGTTAATTTTAGTGAACCTTTATCAATGTTACAACGTATAACTGAAGAACTTGAATATAGTTCTGTACTTGATGCAGCAGCTAAAACAAATAATAATTGGGAACAATTAGCATATGTTGCTGCATTTACAGTTTCATCATATTCAACAACAGCAACACGAAATAATAAACCATTTAATCCAATACTTGGTGAAACATTTGAATGTGACAGAACAGATGATCTTGGTTGGAGATCAATGGCTGGTAGGAGAATTTTCTTTTTTTTTTGAATTGAGATTTTTAATAGGAAAAAAAAAATTCTTTTTTTATTTAGAACAAGTTAGTCATCATCCACCAGCTGTTGCAACACATTCTGAAGGACAAGGTTGGACATTATATCAGGAATTTACTATGGCATCAAAATTTCGTGGGCAATATTTAAGTATAACACCAATGGGTAAGATTTCATTGTTATTTAATAATATCAATAAAGATGTTCTCAAGTTACAAAATAAATTGTGCTGCTTACTAATCTTTAATCATTATAAGAACTTTTAGCATTCTCATTCAGAATAAATACACTTTCACAAAAGATTCTTTTAATTTATGTAGAATTTTTATAATTAAATATTTTGATAATTTTAAGTTAATTATCTTGTAAATCATATTAATCAGAACATAAATCAATAACGTAGTCGTCGACTAAATGAATCAAAACGATTATTGAATAAATTCTAGAATAGTTTTATCAAGGTCAAAACTCAAAAAACTAAAATCACCGGAATCCGAACCAAATTAGATTTATCAATGAAAACAGAAGTTACAAGAATTGAGATCAATAACACTTACGAGGGAAGGCCACCAACTGTCTCCTCGCTTTTGAGCTGAAACTCAGTTGACAATAGGTAATCGAACGTGCTGATTCTGAATATTACAATGGTTTTTCCCCGCTTTCGATTTAAAGACCCATTTTTTAAAGATCTTGGTTTTTCAACCGAAAAACCATTTTCACTGGAAAATTTTCTTGACCCGTCCAAATGAAAGAGTACGTCGTCAAACTTACAGAAAACAATTTTTCAAGGTTCTAAGCGAGGTTTTGAGCGAGTTTTCTGCGTCTAAAACCGAAAAAAAAGAAGGAAAAACCGCTAATATTCTTACACAATTTATGGAAGAAAAACTACTGTTTTTTTCACACATGTTATTAGCAGTTTGTGCTAAAGAGGGCAATAAAGCAATTTCACAGAGTCATCATTCGTAAAAATATTTGCTGTGTTCTTAATGGAAATGATAACTGGTAAAAAAGTGTTGAAAACACAATTTCTTCGAACATCAGCACAAGTTATAAAAACAGACTCATCGTCGTCTTTTTCTTTACACTGCATATGAGTTCCTGAACTTGCAAAGCAAACTTGATTAACGCTGACAAATGGAGAAGGATCTTCACGTATTAAGCCACTGGAGAACCAAGCGTATTTAATCATTGGCGTGAATACATCTGCGCTCAATTGATTATGCATTAGACTGGCTGAATTGTGTAAGAATATTAGCGGTTTTTCCCTCTTTTTTTAAGTTTTAGACACAGAAAACTCGCTCAAAACCTCGCTTAGAACCTTCAAAAATTATTTTCTGTAAGTTTGACGACGTACTCTTTCATTTGGACGGGTCAAGAAAATTTTCCAGTGAAAATGGTTTTTCGGTTGAAAAACCAAGATCTTTAAAAAATGGGTCTTTAAATCAAAAGCGGGAAAAAACCATTGTAATATTCGGAATCAGCACGTTCGATTACCTATTGTCAACTGAGTTTCAGCTCAAAAGCGAGGAGACAGTTGGTGGCCTTCCCTCGTTAGTTTCACGCATCTCTAATCAACATTTATTAAACAGAATGAAATGATTAGTGACGTCCGCAATCAATTCTAGTCTTCATGACAGCAGTCGGGATCATGAGACAAATAAAATTGTCCGAACCAGAACTGAAAATTATGCACACACAGAGACTAGAGATCAGTGGTGTCAAACTTTTTAGTCTCGAAACTCGAAATGTTTTTCATTTCTCCCCGATTTTTTTCTTATTAATAACTGATGTCTAATATTATGTTAACAGTGAAATGCAGACAAGTCTTGATTGTTCACCAGTTTAAAGGAATAAATTGAGAAAAAAACAAGGTTTTCTCATCGTTTGTATATAAAACAAAAGGATGATTTTAAAGTTGTTAACATGAAGCGAACTCGAAGATGTTAATAAAGAAACAAGATGATTCTATTAATTATGTGGATGAATGTGTAAATGTCGGTAGGTCTTCTGTACATTCCACCCACTCACACCCACATCCACACCTCTTTTTTTCTTTTGTTGATGAAGCTTTGAATTCTGACGATTAGATATTTCTGTTTTTCTTTGTTCGTCTTTTTACCTTGCCTCCGACCTTGATGGGGTCAGAATGTTCCTACTGATCTCTAATCAGGACCATTCTGGAAAGTTACCGGGAATATGAATCAACTCTTGCTATATAAAATCTGTTTTTGAGATTTACTTTAAATATTTATTCAATAAATAGAAAATAGAATTTAATTTTTAGGTTATTCTCATCTTGTATTTAAAAATACTGGTAATCATTTTACATGGAAAAAAGTAACTACACTTGTTAATAATATAATTGTTGGTAAACTATGGATAGATAATGTATGTTAAATAGTAAATTTTCATTTAAAATTCTATAATCCTTTATTTGATTATAGGTAGGTGAAATGGATATAATTAATCATACAACAAAAGATATATGTAAATTAAAATATTTTCAATATAGTTATTTTTCAAAAGATGTTCCACATAAAGTAACCGGTGTTATAACTGATTCAAATTCTCAAGCCCGATGGGTATTATCTGGTAAAATAAAAACAAAATTCGATTATTTCTTTTTTTTTTTTTTTGTATTAATTAATTTTTTTTTTTTTTACTTTCAAGGTACATGGACAGGAAAAATTGAAGGTGGTCCTGTTGAATCAACATCAGATCGTCATACACATTCTCATCATATGGAAACACATAATATGAAAGTACTATGGCAACGGAAAATGCCACCAGCATATATGGAAAAAATGTATAATTTTACTGAATTAGCTATTGAATTAAATGAAAATGAATCAGATGTTGCACCAACTGATTCTCGTCGTCGTCCCGATCAACGTTTAATGGAAGAAGGACGTTGGGATGAAGCTAATCAAGAAAAATTACGTCTTGAAGATAAACAACGACATTCAAGAAAAATTCGTGAAACACAAGGAAATGGAATTGATATATTTAAACCGAAATGGTTTGTTAAACAATTTGATTCAATGACTCATTCAGACATGCATATATTTACAAATGAATATTGGGAAGCGAAATTAAAACAAGATTGGTCTAGATGTGATGATATATTTTAACCACAACAACAACAACATAAAAAAAAGAAATATTATAATTATCCAAATCATCTATTAGTTTTTTTAATTTATTATTAAATAGAACCTGTTTTATTCTTCGTTTCTTTTTTCATATTTATCGTCTGCTATATTTCAATGCAACACATCTGTTCTGCTTTCTATGATTGTGAATTTTTTAAAGGAAAAAAAACAAAAAAAAAAAAAACAAAAGAAAGCCATTTATGTAAAGAGAGTTTGGAAAATAACAAGTAAACATAATTTGTTGAACTCTCTTGTTGCTTTTTTTTTTCTTAAAACTCAATAATTAATATTTTAGATAGGATGGAAAAAAAAAGAAATAAAACAATTTATAGTATAATTTAATATTGTTGTTTCTTATACTCAATGAAATCGTTGTATTATAATTTGTTCGTGATGATTAAGTTTATATTGATTATTCTTATTTCTTATTGTTCAGCAACGAACAATTCCTTTCGTGGTATGTATGAAATTAATCTTAAAACTTTATATTTAAATAGAAATTCAATGAGTCTTCCTCGTTTGAATGCTGCCAATGAACGAAAAAAAAACGTAATTTATTAATACAACTTCTAGTCAATAGAAATTATTGAGTTTGAATCTGGATATGGATCTATCTAAATCAAGATTCAGAAGAGAGAGAAGTAAAGATCATGATATTATTCACATGTCGTCTTACGATTTATTTTCATTTCCTCGAATACGATGTTCTATGTATTTAACTTCTGTATCTATTTCAATACAATAGAATACATCGTCATTATTCAATACACTCGAAAACTTGATTCAATCATATATCTCCGTGGTTAAATAAGTACGATTGTAAACGGTGATTTTAGATGATTTTTTCGCTATTTGGTGGGCGCAGTATTATGAATACAGCTGGACAGGCCCAAAACTTTTGAATCCGGACTCTGACGCAGGCTCGGATTCGGATCCGAACTCGACCAGGTCCAGATCCGAGACCAGCCTGACGGTCCCTAACTAAGAGCCTGTATTCCATTGTATTGTTAACGGTTGGATACTTGATTTTCGAACCGTTACCACGTGTGCACGGTATGACAGTGACGCAGTCAGAAATTTTTTTTGGGGGGGGGGACCGTAATAGAAAAAAGGCATTTTTTTTTTAGCAAAGACGAATTAGCCTGTACCCTCCTCCAGGCATTTCGGTCTGTCGGGGGGGGGGGGGCGACCGATTTCCATAATCCCCCCTCTGGCTGCGTCACTGCGGTATGATAAAATATGGTTGAAATACTGCGCCTACCAAATGTAAATTTACAGATATTTACGACTGCAAACTGTTATGAAACGACAATATATAATACTGTTTTTGGTTGTCTTAGTGACTGTAATCATTATCCGGAGCTTCTTTCAATATGTTATATGATATTTGTCTTTAATCTAGGTTATGATTTTGGACAATACTATTCTCGTATTCGTATATATGAATATACGGATTATTCCAGTGTAAAATTTTTGAAATTTAATATATATGATACAACAAAATTAGCTAATTGGTCAATAATTATTGATACAAATGGACAATGTACCAATTATCTTGCTAATATTCATTTGTATGATCAAATGAAAATTACTTTTTCTTTATAAAAAAATAAGATTTTTTTTGTTCCTAATCAGTGATCTTCAATATGGTGCTTATCCATTGACTAATCCACGAAATGAATCATTTCCTGAAACGTATATAAGTACTCGTCATGATTTAACTAAAACAGTATTTAATCGAACAGTATCTAATGGAACAGTTCAGTTGGAAAATCCTTTGAGAGGAACATGGTTTGCTCTGGTAAATAAAAGGAAAAGAGCTTAAATAACATTTCTAATGCTTAAATGAATGTCTTTCAGGTATTTGTTGAACGTTTACCAACAAATACCCAATCTAAAGTATGTAAATAAAACATGAATTGTTTTATTTTAACAATAAATATATAGAGATCGTCAAGTAACTGTAACATTTATCTAACAACTTGGCTTGACTATCAAGCTGAACCAGCTCCATTGACACTTACTCTTAATCAACAACTTCAAATTATTCTATCAAATAGTTCAACATTCATTTATGCATCGTATATAACTTTTACATTTTAATATCCTATTGTTTTATTAACCATATAATCATAACGCTTCTCACGCATTATTTAACTTAGAGTTGGAGACCATACAGGAGGAAAAAGCAAGACAGACAATCTTTATCTCGTTGAGTACTATTCTAAAGTTCACAGTTTATATAAAATCATCAACATTGTAAACAGCACTAATACGTAATACAAACTTTTTAGATCTTTAGCGTCTTCTTCCTGTCTATACTTAGAACGGAAAGAGGCTATGTTGATAAAAACTAACAATACAAAATCAAAATGATTGAGATTGATCCTTTCATAGTTAGTGAAAACATAACAGATAATGAAATAGACAAGTGCAACTGTACTTCATTGGTGATAAAATGTTTTCAAACAGGATAAAACTCTACTTAATGAAACCAAAAGTCTAATAAATATTTAATCGAAATGACCAATGCAGTTCCTTGACGAATTGGACCAAGAATATTTAGTACTAGGACTCTTCGTCCAATGGACAAACTATTGCAATATCTCTTAATACTAAACTTTTGTATATCAGAAAATGGCTTCATGATAGTGGGAGTGTGTGGCTATTTCCTTCGCTAACACTCACAGCCGCACACATGCACCCACAGAGACTCACAGCTACATTCAGAAACCCACAGCCACACACAGGGATCCATAGCCACAAATCTGCACCTGCAGCCATACACCAGCACCCACAACTATACACAAGGACTCACAGCAATAAATCCGCACCCATAGGCACACACTCGCACTGGTACCCACAGCCAGAAAAGATATTATAACGTTTTGTTCATGAGGCGAAAAGTCCGGTCATCGAGTGTTTTACAAATCACAGCTTACTTATTATGAGATAGTTTAGATATATGAATGATAGAGTCCGACAAAGAAAAAATTGATATGATGTTTTTCTTGTTTAGATATTATACATCAATAGGCAATTCTCAACTTACTCTTTTATCCGAATGGCTTTCTAATTGTGATATAGTGATATTAGGACGATTGAATGGATTACCGAGTGTTGTTCAATATGATTATCAAACTGGTTTGTTTTTTTTTAAAAAAAAATTAAATGTTTGAAAAAAAGATTATGTTTTGTTTAGTTTGTAAAAATGGTTCGTGTTCAATAGAACTCGATCAATTAGCTGCATTTATTTGGATTTATTTCCAAATATCAGTGAAAAATTTATCATGTTTAAATAATCCTATTCATGGCTCGATGCTTATTCATTCTACAGGTTATTCACATTCATAATTAATCTCGAAATTTTTAATTTCAAAATTAAAAAACAAAAAAACTTTTTAGACTGTTCATCTTATTCATATAATGATACTTGTATTCCGTCATATCCAACTCGACGTCTTATGTTTAATTATTATTTTGATTTTTTATATATACCTATGTATACAAATACCAATGTTACTTCAATAACATCGAATGGAAGTGATTCATCTGTTTATTCATATGAATTTATTGTTGATGATAGAAATATTGGTGGAACAATACATATTGATTTTGAAACTCAAATCAAGGTAGAAAACCGATTTACACTATCAAATAAAATTATTCAACAAGATTTTTTTTTCATTATCTTAAACGCTTAGCAGAATTCATATCACAGAGAAATATATATAAAAATGATTAGTGGATTCTTAAGATGAGATTTTCAGAAAAAAACAAATCCTCAGCAGAGATTTAAGTCAATGCATTGAAGTCGTTTCCTATTTTCTATGAAAACTTCATATCTGATCGTTGTATCTCAGTCGAAGAAAATCGAGACGTCACATTTTATAGAGAATTGTTTGTTCTATCGCTGCATGTAGCCTGAATAAAATTATATTTTCACACGTGCTGAACACTGGAGATTAAATTTTCTGGAGATCTTGTCTTTAGAAATCCAATAATCATTTTCATTTTCTTATATATTTAAAACCTTGTTAAATAGTTTTGATAGTCACTATTTATATATTTATTTTAGTCTTATGCTCCATTGAATGCAAATATTAGTATTCTTGGATGTTTATCTAAAAATCGACCACGTCGATATCATACATGTGAAATTGATTATAAAATATATATTAATAAAAATTCAGTTGTAGTCAGATCATTACCTTATCCTGAAATGGCTCTTTGGTATTTAACATTAGAATATAATTGCAATGAGTAAATTTTCAACTAATAATTTTTTATTTAAATAATCTATATATTTTTGAAATTTAGTTCAAAGAATATATGTAATAATGTATCAATGTCAGTTACATTTCAAATATCATCATCACAATGTACTCGAGAACAATGTGGAACATATGGTATTTGTAGAATAATGACATCTCAACAAAATATGTTTTCTACTTGTACATGTCTTGTTGGTTAGTAAATATTTAAAATAATCGATCATTGATAATGAATTATGATTAGAGTATTTTATTGAATAATGGAAAACGTTAAGTAGAGGTTTTTTTGCTATTAAAACGTGAAATATGGTTAAGTTGTTTCTATTGTGAATGCATAGGTTTTTGAAATATCTTTCGAGTTTCTGTCTGATGCGGTTTTCGTTATGCGATAATGAATATACCTTTTATTTTTTCGTTACATTTCGATAAATTCAAAACAGAGACCGAAATCGAATCACTTCTTAAAAAGCGACGTTAAACTGAACCCAATTTAACTAATTTTGAATAGCGAATAAATTTGACCAAGTACATAAGAGGTTCCACTTTGTACAGTTATCTATAGAAATCAAAAGAAATCTTTTATCTCTCAGGTCTACTAGCAAAAGTATTTATACAAGTTTTTTATTATTATTAGAATATAACAGGAACGGAGAGCGACCATTTTATAACGGAATCCTCTATAGTGATGATCGGATGTTAATGTATAATAGTAGTTACTCTCGTTACTTCCGATCTATTTTTCTTGAAGTCATGTATTTCGACAATTGGCTTGTTGAATTTTAATTCTCAAAAATTTAAATCTAAAATAATTTTAAATTTATTCCACCTAACAATTTAAATTTATATTGGCAACAGTTTTAGTTTAAAATAAACTTACAGAAAAATCCCATGCCTATCCGGAACTGAAAATGAATCGAACCGAACTCGAATCTGTAAAAGTCGGTTCGATTCAGTCTCTGATTCAAAAATATGGATGTTAACATTCAATAACTGTCTACCAGCGAGATCATCTACGAATCCATTCCATCGGGTAAATCTTCATTGTTCACATGCCATCATCATCTTCGCGTGGTGCTGTATGTGATTGAATCACATGTCTATCTAAGTTTTTACTTGTAACTCCTCTAAACAAAGGTCTCTAGTGCTAATTTATCAGAGTATCTAAAGTAACTCAACATATAAAAATTAACTCTAGGAAAATTTATTATCCCGAAATACACGTATTTTAATTCTCCAAAGTCACATTGCTAACGAATGATTTTACCCATTTATTCATACCATAGATGTCCATCGTGGCTGAGAATGTACCGTTGTTGTGCCATGATCCTAGGCGGACGAAGGCTCACGCGCCGCGGTCCGATGAGAGCGAAGGCCCCCGCGCCGCGACCAAAATCCAACTCTACCGTGTCGCTGCCGACGCGATGAACTATATAGAAAGTTGCCACTACCACGCTGTTGCCGCGATGGTATTTTTTAAACATTCCCCGCGCCGTCACCGTCACAGCGGTAACGCTGTCATGGACATCTCTGATTCATACACATGGTTTTTTTTTCACTTATACATCAAAATGAATACGATTTGTTTTTTAGGCTATCGTGGATACGGTTGTACGGATGGTACTTATTCGTATCTATCAAGATATCTACCAAGTGCTCTTTTCTTAACACTTAGTAATTTAATGTTTATTCCGGCAGTGATAGTAGCAATTTATTATCGTTTATATATTGAAGCACTTGTATATTTTTTTAATATGTTTTTTTCAACTGTAAGTGATTTTTTTCTTCATGCTTATATGCAAAAGAAAGTTTTGTGTTTTTAGTTTTATCATGCTTGTGATCAAGAAATTCATCAAATTTGTATATTTAAATATGATGGTTTACAATTATCAGATTTTATTGGTTCATATTCATCATTTGTTATAACATTAATAACAATGTCAATTATTCCACGATCAATAAAAGCATTTCTTTTTATATTAGGTATATTAACATGTATTGCTATTAATGCACGTGATCGTTTTGATAGTTTACAATTTGTTGCTTTAATGATTATTACATTCAGTTTTACTATTATAACATGGGTATGTATGAAGAAATGAAAAAGAAGAATAAAGATTTTATTTGCAAAAAAATAATAATTTAGATAGTTGTTTCAATTAAAAAACGTCGTCTACAACCATCTCGTAAACAACTTTTATTAATTACACCTGGACTTGTATTATCAATTACAGGCATTATTTTATTTGTTGTTGTTGAAACAGATGATAATTATTGGTATATACATAGTTTATGGCATATATTGATGGCAACTTCAATTTTATTTTTTCTTCCAAAGAAAATACGTAAGAAAATATTAGATGAAAATTATTTTCTATTTCTAAAGTATATTACATGCATAAATAATAAATTGAAGAAAAAGAAATTAAGAAATTTTTCTAATCGAAAAATAATCAAATAATTTTGAATAAATATAGAACTTCTACAAAAATGGATCATTTTTTTTAAAGACTAAGCCACTCCTTGACTCATTCATTCTTTTTCTTTTTTTTAGGACAAAATACGCCAACTGAACGATTCAGTGAAATAGATAGAACTCCATTTCATTCATCAGTTGGTGTTATTAATCAAGGAGCAGCGATACCACTTGATCAACAAGACAATTCTCATGAAACACATTGATTTTTTTTCATGTGATATTATTAACTATTGCCTATGTATTTTTTGAATATTGTGTTCTGTTTTTTTTTTCGATACATCTATTTTTGAAGAGTGTTAAGATGTCGCTAATTGATGAGACTTAATCACAAAAAAAAAAAAGAATAAATAAATCATAATTTTTTTCCGTGCAATGAATTATTTAAATATAAATAAATATTTTATGATTTTATCATTGGTTCATTGGTTGCTATATTGTACCATTAAGTCTTTGTTTCAAATCAACTACTAACATGTCTCTCGCTTAGACACACTCACACACACACTATACGTGTCTTTATAGGGATTATTAATGTAATCTCCAATGATTTTATAGTTTGTCTTGGATAACAAAAAAAAAAAAAGAATTCTGTTGTAGATTAGCAAATATGTGTACATATCACGGAATAATAGAAGAATATCCTCTTATATCTATTGATTCATTTGAAACACATAATTATACAAGTACAATGTTTTTTATTACACATATTCATATGGATCATCTTGTTGGTCTTGAACGACCAGAATTTGGTAAATATGTTGCAAAAATTAATGCACCTATTTATATGTCAGAAATTTCTAAACAATTACTAAGTACAATGGCACCATATAGACATTTAATACCATATTTTAAATCAGTACCTATTGATCAACCATTTGCATTAACAATTCAATCAAATGATCCTGTACAAGCAAAGAAAAAAGAAGGAGCTAGTAAGATAAATAAATCAGATAGAAACAAAAAATTAACATCAGTATATAATTCTTAATTGTTTTTAGATTATGATAGTATGAAAAATACACTATCATCTCATACACCACATGTTGGTGAAGCAATACTTGTTACATGTTTTGGTTCAGGTCATTGTCCTGGTTCAGTTATGATTTGGATTGAAGGTGAACATGGAAATGTTTTATTTACAGGTGATTTTCGTCTTTATCGTGGACAAGCTAAACGTATAACACATTTACATCGACGACGAACAGATAATGATAAAGATGAAACATATATATTTAAACCAATTGATAATCTTTATATTGATATGACATTTTTTCGTCCAGATATTTTACATATACCAACACGTGAAGTTAGTTGTGAAGCACTTATTTTATGGATTAAAGGTTTAATTGCTGATAAATCAAATGAGGCTAATATTTATTTTAAAACTAGGTATGATTGATGAGAAAAGATATTAGGAGTCATGAGTTATTAATTAATGCACTACTACATATTAGAAGTTTCAAGGCTTGACAAAATATACTCTGACTACTGTTTTACTTGAGACATATACAAGTGGATAGCATTTGATGTTCTGAATCCTATTCTGAAAAAAAAATATCAAAAAGATAAAAAGAAAAGAATTTTTAGAGCGGCTCACTTTGAACTAAAATTTCCGTCTAACATCATTTGTTTAAGATTTTAGCTCACAGTGGAGTCCAGTAGACTCGGAATCTCAAGCTCTATCGATTGGTATAAGTCTCACATACGGAGTTTGGTAGATGCCAACCTATGTATAAAAAATGTTTCTATCGACGACAAATATTCATAATTAAAAATGATCTATAGAAATAATTTTCATTTCTCGTCAACATCTAAGATCATGATCACTCACTATGTATTCTGTAACTGTCACTTTGTTTGGAAACCGATATTTTGAATATCATCACAGGTTAAAAAATTCATTGTTCTTCAGTAACATGTATATCCAAGTCGTATTGGAAGCTTCGGGGCTTCTATTGCAATGAGACTTGTTCTTAAGTTCCTTAATCCATTGTTGTAATACCGATTTTTCCACAAAGAAAAGACCTGCAACTGCCGCGATGATATTAAAAAATAAAAATATTTCCAATTTCACTGCCTTGAATGTAGTGAACACTGAAAATTTATGCAGTTCTGCTTTTTCTTCAATATTTAACGTTTCGAAAAAAAAGCTTTTGTTTTTGATGTTCAACTTAGAAAATATTATTTTTAGCATTTAAAATCTGCAATGGTTCAAATTGGTTACAGTTGCAAAGTTAAAATGTCTGATACTTTCGTAGCTGACGGCGCCGAAGCCTAAGACCTTTGTAATTGTCGTCGAAGCCTAAGACCTGTGTAGTTGTCGCTGAAATTTGAGGCTTTTGTAGTCGTCACAGAAGTCTGAATCTTTTGTAGCCACCGCCGATTAATACATCATCTTACATCTTTAGTCGGAAATACCCGACCAAGATGATTTCGAGTAAATTGATATGAATCTACCAAATAAAAAGTACAGGGTTATTTGTTTTAAAAATAAGTATAGACATTTGCGATTGATTTCATGAACTTTGCAATGAAACTATTTATTCATTTTGTTCGAGTTTTCTCTTTCTGAGAGTAAATGTGATGTTGCTCTTTGGTTTCCCATAGTAAATCAAACACTGAATTTTCCATAATATATGATAACATGAATATATTTTGTTTTTCTTTCCAGTGCTCGTGTTGGTTATGAACAAATATATCGAGCTTTATATGACGGTTTAGGAATGCGTATTCATGTTGAACAGGGTCAATATGATTTTTATGCATGTTTACCAATAATACAAGAATGTTTAACAACTGATCCTAATACAACACGTTTACATGCATGTCGTACATCGGCATCAAATTTTGCTCAACCTTGTGCTTTTTTTCGTAATTGTGATAAACCTATACGTGTACTTTTATCAATTATGTGGTTTACAGATCAAATAGCTGCAGGTAAAATAAATGTTAATGATTGTTTAAAAGAAATTTTCTTAAATAATATATATATATATATATATATATATATATTTTATTTCTTTAGGTGAATTATTAGTTGAATATCATAAATATCATTCAAATTTTGAGCAAAGTGTATCAACATCATCTAAACGTTATTTTATTGGTTTTCAAGATTATGGTGGTGAAGGTGTTGATGTTTCTTATTCAGATAAATATTTAAGTTATCGTTTATGTTATTCTCTTCATTCATCATTTTCTGAAATAGCTGATGTATTAAAAACATTAAAACCAAAACGTGCTACACCAATATCAACACCATTAATATCACAACTCACACCAAAACGTCTTTTTCAAATCATTGATCATTATATACAAGATCCAAAAAATCCTAAAACATCAACAACAACAACAATAAAATTTAATGAAAAATTACAACGAAAACCTATTAATCAACAATTACAAATTAAATATCGTTATGAATCATTTCAAACTAAAGCAGAAAAAAAACGAAAAAAGAAAATTGTCAAAGAACAACAAGAAAGAAAAAATAATAATGATGATTTAGATTTAGATACTAATGATGAAGCTGATAAATTACTTTTACAACGTGTTAATTCATTAAAAGAATCTAATAATAAAAAAATTAAAACAGATGAATCAAATCAAATTATTCGATGTATGTATCAAAATTTCCTTAAACTATGAAATATTTGAAATAAATATTTTTAAATTTTAGCTATTTCATTCGACTTATTAAAATCTCAAGATGAAAAAATCGAATTCGAAAATGATTCACAAAAATTAAAATTGGAACAATTAATATCTCCTGAAAATTCTCAATCAAGTCAGATACTTCCTATTGAATTAAAATCTGAAGATACATCAAATTTATTAATTGCTACAGATAATTTATTCTCAGATATAATTCCAATAACAAATGATCAATCTATTGAATTACCATGTACAGATGGTAATCGTCAACGTACATCATCAGATGCATCATCAGCTACTGTCGATTATGATTTTGATACAGAAACATGTATAGCACTTACATCAAAATCTATTGATATTGATGTTTAAATTGTTGTTTTTTCTTTTTGTTTTTTTTTTTTATAAATAATTATTTAATTTGTAATGTAGGTATTATTGTTTTTTCCTTTTTTTGTAGATCATGGCTTCAATAGCTTTAACCGTTCTTACATTAACTCTTGGAATGTTTTTTATATTTGTTGGTCAATTTAAAATTACATCAAAATTTTTTCCTGATGTACATGAAGATATGGTAAATAAAATTTTTTTTTCTGATCATTCTTTTTTACTTCGATATTTTTGTTCTAGAGACGTGAATTTGGTCGTGTTAATAAAGTATTTCCATTTTACCAAGTAACTGGTTGGCGTCCATATGCTAAAAATTATCGATTAGCTGTTGGTATTGCTGAAGTTGTTTGTGGAGCTATTTTAGTTTTAATACCAGGTTAATTTTATAGATAAATTCGTAAAAATAAAAAGTTTAACAACAAGATTTTTTTTTCTATAAGTTCAAGAACTTAGATCAAATTCATATGATGATTTTAGTAGCTAATTAGAGTTTTCAAGTCCGAGAAGCTTTCTGGTTCTCGAAGAGACTACAACTAATCCACATGAGATTTTCTATTACACGTAGAGCACTTATAATAAGGAGGCATATGCTCTATGAAAGGAAAATTTTTTTAACCTCTTCAGCACAAGTTACGTATATATATGTGATAGTTTTGAATCAACTCGTAACTGGCTTATGACACTGTTTGAGTCAATATTGTTCTTTATCTTTATCTATTTCTTTTCTTTCGTTACGTGTCATTGCACAAGAGACACGACCGAGTCGGTAATGAGCTGCGTAATCGAGGTTTTTATATCTGCTTTAAATCTTGTCCATTTTTCTTTGTTTAAGAATCGAAACTTTTAGATCTATGAGAGCTCTTTCCGTTAGAGAGCTGTGAGTTCACTTTTTTGTAAATCCGAACCCGAACAAAGTTTAAAATTTGGACCCGGACTCGAAAAAAAATAAAACTTTGGATCCGACCAGGTCCGGATGTGGAAGGACCCGCAGTTCCCTACTTCTCGTAGAGAAACCAGTATTTTTTCCAGAACCCTATTGATCAAAAAAATGCTGTTGTTAAACTTTTTTTCACTATCCTATTATTCAAAAAAAAAATATATTTTTTCTTTTCTGTTTAGGACGACTTAAACAATTGGCTAATGTGGTTCTTTTGATATTAATGTTAGGTGCTGTTTATACACATTATATATTACATGATAAATTTGAACGTATGGCACCTGGACTTGTATTTAGTCTTTTATTGTTGACTCGTCTTATCATTTATCGACAAGTGGTACAACGAGAGAAAGGTTTAAGTGCAGAAAAGAAACCAATGAAATCAGAGGAAAAAATAAAAGACGAAGATGTCGAAGAAGAGTCGGATGATCAAGAATCACAAAGTGACGATGAAGATAAACAAAGAGCACCGAGTGATAAGAAAAAGGACAAGAAGAATATATAACATGTTCGACTTAAATTGAATTTCATATTGTGACTTGTGCATTTGTGTTCGTTCGTTCCTTTTCTTTTTCTGTTTTTTATTATATTCAAAAAAAAAACAAAACTAGCTTTTTGTCTGCTTCATATTTCATTAATTTAGATGTCTCATAAACTCTGGTCACCGCCTTCGGGCATTCGTACAAATATTGATGATTTTCGAGACATCATTGTGAATAAATATCAAGTTCAATTGGGTATAAAGATTTCTTGTTCTTTTGCGAAATGATAAATCCATAGTTGATAAATTTAGAAACATATTGGGATTTATATGAATGGTCTATAAATAATATTCCGAAATTTTGGGAAGAATTTTGGTTTTATATTAATATTAAACATTCAGTACCATTCGAACAAGTATGTCAATTTCATATTACATTTGTTTTATTTAAACTAAACTTGATATGAATAATAATTATGAATTTCAAAAAAAAAATATCTAGGTATTAGAAGAAAATAAGAAAATGAATGAAATTCCTCGTTGGTTTTTGGGTGCAAAACTTAATTACGCCGAAAATTTACTTCGTTTCAATGATAATCGAATTGCTGTATATGCTTCTAGTAAGTGAACAAATTCAAATTTTATAATTTCTAAGAAAGTTGCAAAGTTTTAGTTGTTTAATCTAAATAGATTGTTAGAGAAGGTAAAAGAAATGTGTTGTCATTTAATGTAATATGTATTTCATTGATCAGCTTCCTCTCTCAAATTGAGGGCTCTTAAGCGAAGTTTTGCATTGTACAAAAGATATTACTTTCATAATATACTGTTTTAAACATTGGTTATTTTTATAGGTGAAGCAAATACATCAATAAAACAAATAACATTTGCTGAATTACATGAAAGTGTTCGTCGTTATCGTGCAGCACTTCAATATGTTGGTGTTAAAGTGGGTGACAGAGTTGCAGGTACTTAAATACAAATTCAATTATACAAAATTAATTATTTTATTTTTTTGTTTTTTAGTTTATCTTCCAAATTGTCCTGAAGCATTAATTATTTGTCTAGCAACAGCTAGTCTCGGTGCGATATTTAGTGCGGCATCACCAGATTTTGGTGTACCTGTATGTATAACCTTTTTTTTTTTGTTTTGAAAATTTATAAATTAATGTTTTTATTTTTTATTTTTTTCGTAAGGGTGTCACTGAACGCTTCAGTCAGATTGAACCTAAAGTAATATTCGGTTGTAATGCTGTTATTTACAACCAAAAAACTCATGATTCATTAACTAAATTAAAAGAATGTGTATTCGGTAAGATAAATTTATTAATATTTTCTATGAATATAAAGTTATACATTTTTTTTTCTAGCATTACCAACACTACAACATGTTGTTGTCATTCCATATATATCTGATTATTCAATGGATCTTAGCACTATTCCAAATAGGTTTTAATCTATATTTATTATTAGATTTTTATCCAAATAAATTTTAGTGTAACCATTGAACAATTTCTTTCAATGCCTGGTGAAATTATTGCACCACTCGAATTCGAACAAGTTCCATTTAATCATCCATTATTTATTATAAGTATCATTTTTAAAAAAAAAACTTCTCTAATAATTATGCTGGTTTTTTGTTTGATGTGTTTACATGTATTCATCGGGTACGACTGGTGCACCAAAATGTATAGTTCATGGCCATGGTGGAACATTATTAAATCATTTAAAAGAACATCGATTACATAGTAATATGAAAGATGGAGATATTTTATTTTATTTTACAGGTAACAAAAAAAAACTAATTCATTGTATTGAGATATATTTAAAGTATGAAAAAAAAATGTTTTGTGTTTTAGCTGTTTCGTGGATGATGTGGAATTGGGTAATGATGATGATGTCTTTTTTTTTATTTTGTTTGTTTTTAAATCAATAACTATATATTTTTGATATTTAGTTAATTTCATCGATTGCACTTGGTACACCAATTGTACTTTATGATGGTTCACCAATTATACCAGATTATTATCGACTTTGGGATTTAGCTGATAAAATCGGGTAGAGTTATTACAACGAAAAACATATCTAGAAAATGAAAAATCTAATTTTTGATTTCAAACATATTTATATAAATATAGTTTGAGAGTATATGAAAGATCAAAAGTGATTCCACATATTTCTATTCATGTTATATAATGATTACACCACAGATTCATGGAAAGATAACTCATAAAGAAAGTTTCTCAAAAAGTAAAATAATTGATGTCAAACAAAAGGTTTAAAAGAAAAAGAAATTTCATGCCTTATCGTATAGTTTGATGATAGTTAAATCAAAGATTGTAGGAAATTCTAGCGAAAACGAATGAATATTTTTCAATGTCTAATGTTTAGATTTTTAATGAAAGCTTTCAGCAATACCAATCGATATGTCGCATTGTTTGAATTACTTAGCATATATAGATGATTCAGATTATTAAACAATTAAATGAAGATATTTTGCATAATCTGATATTCTCAGTAGAGCCTGCCGGATCTAAAATTTTCCCATTCAAACCCATTTAATAGAGAAATTTCGGCCATAGACTGGAATGGTTCGAGTTCGAAATCAATCGGGTGGACTCTAACTCCCACAAAACATTCATGATCATTACTTTTCGTATACTTCATCATTTACTTACGAGGGAACCTTTCTAGCTTGAAAATTGCTTTTAAGTTGGAACTCTGTGCATAATGTAAACCCAAATTATGTATTAGAAACCTCAAAAAGATAAGGGTCTCTAGCCGCTCCTTTAGATCCCGTCGGGTTCAAAAATTTTGAATCCGGTTCTGATCGAATCCTACTTCCGTGGTTTTCATGAAATTCTCTAATCGGAATTGGATAGCCACTTTTATTCGGTGACTAGTGCACGCTATAAATTACTCAAAAGCGTAGAGCCCATCGAACCTAAAATTTTCGGACCCGGGTCTAGACTAATCCGACGGGCACCACCTTCTCCACAAAGTGAAAGTCGTTTTACTAAAATCTTAGCCTATAGCACGGTATATACAAAAGAATCGAATGATGATATTTTGCCCGTCGATAGGCCTGCACGAGATGTTGAATTCCGAAAAAATCAATTATATTCCACGAAAGATTATAGAATTTAATGTTTTTTTTGGAATTCATTATCTTGTGAAGGGAACATTATTTTGAACTGAAATTTTCAGGATATTTTCGTCACAAGTAGGCCTGCCTATAGTAAAAATATTATCATTCGATTCTTTTATACATACCGTGCTATAGGGTAAAATTTCAGTAAAATGGATATAACTTTGTAGAAAAGACCTAGGAACTTTTACCTTTTTTTGAAGTTTTTAAGGTCTCATTTGAATCTACGTTATGTATAGAGTTCAAAATCAACGATGATTTTCAAATTATGATGATTTCCTCGTTAGAAACATATTGATAATCTTGATATTGATCTCATTTATGAAACTATTATTTTGTTATATTATTGTATTCTGATAAATTCATAGATAAAAAAAAATAAAGAAGTTTAAATTCTATTTAGCATAACAATATTCGGCTGCAGTGCTCGTTATTTAACAGCATTAGAAGAACATCATATAACACCTCAAACACATAATAAACTTGAAAAATTGCATACTATTTTATCAACTGGTTCACCATTACATAGTCGAATATTTGATTATGTTTATACAAATATCAAAACAGATATTTTATTAGGATCAATCACTGGTGGAACAGATATTATGTATAGGATAAATCTCTGATGTATTATATAATTTTTTTTTTTGTTTTGTTTTGTTTTGTTTCTCTTTAGTTCATGTTTTGCTGGTGTTAATCCAACATTGAATGTTCATCGAGGAGAAATACAATCTCCACATTTAGCTATGGCTATTGAATGTTGGTCTGAAGAAGGTATGAAAATGAATTAGTCTTTTTTTATCTTTATTTTTACATTTGATGATCTATTATTTGAAGGAAAAAAATTGGAAGGTGATAGTGGTGAACTTGTTTGTGTTAAACCGTTTCCTTCGATGCCTGTTTGTTTTTGGAATGATCCAAATGGTGAAAAATATCATCGAGCCTATTTTGATAAATTTTCAAGTTTAATTTTCTATTGAATCTTTGTATTTCAAAATAATTTTTTCTGATATTTATTTTATCTAGGCATATGGAATCATTCTGATTTTTGTCTTATTAATCCAGTTACTCGAGGCATTGTTATGCTTGGTCGAAGGTTTGTCTATTAAAACTTTGACTTTACAAAAAAAAAATCAAGTCATTATTTGTTTTTTTAGTGATGGTACTCTTAATCCTAATGGTATTCGTTTTGGTTCAGCTGAAATCTATTCCATTGTTGATCAATTTAATGGTGAAATTCTCGATAGTTTATGTGTAGCACAACGAAATCCTTCAACTGGTGATGAACGTGTTATACTTTTTCTTAAAGTAAGTTAACAAAAAAAAAATTGCCAAATAATTTCTCTTTTATTTGAATACGTTAATATTTGATGAGTTGATTAATAGAAAAAGACAAACAAAAAAAATTTTTTGATGAAATATAATTGAAATCAACACATAGAATTTTTATTTTTTCTGTAGTTATTTTTTTTTTATAATCATAAATTAAATCCTTAAATATTCATCAATCGATTAATTCTATATCGTCGTTGAATATAAGAATTTCTTGGTGATCCTTTAATATAATAATTTAAATCAACATCATCAATATCATTATTATCGTCATAATTATGATCATCATTGTTTGATTTGTCTAATTGTGAATATATATCATATAAAGGACTATCTCGACGAACAAGTTTAATTTTAAATGCATCATAATAATCTTTAATAGCTTTAAGATAATTTTCAATTTGTTCTCTTGTTTTGAAACGTAATGGTCGTTCAGGTGGTGGTGGAATGTCAAGATAAGATGATAATGCACATGAAACAAGTGCAAAAAATAATAGAAAAATTATGCATGTGTTATTCATTCTAAAGAATATAATAATCTCGATGTGGTTTTTTTGTCTTTTTATTTCTTATACTTACATGAATGAAGTAATAATAATACAAGAATCTTTCAATGAAATATAGTCAACTATTTCTTAGTATCAATTAGACGAAAGAAATTGTAATAATAAAGAAGAAATACTTTATGAAATGAATCTTGTCTTTTTCTATACATATAAATACATATATATATATATGTATATGTCGTATCGAAGTTACACCGGTCGACGAAGTTATAACTTCGTCGTCTCATATTCACGAAGTTACAACTTCGTCGTATAAATGTGACGAAGTTATAACTTCGACGCTCATAGTTATCGAAGTTATTTTTGATTCACTTATCAATAAATAATTTATTAAACTGAGCACTTTACTGTTCAATACATGATCAAAAAATAACATTTTTACTAATAAATGTTCATTTATTTCACAATATTATAAAAAAAATGAATATTTATTAATAAAAATTTTATTTTTTAATCATATATTCAACAGTAAAATACTTAGTTTAATAAATTACTTATTGATAAGTGAATTAAAAATAACTTCGACAAGTTTCTCTGTCGAAGTTATAACTTCGATAACTGTGAGCGTCGAAGTTATAACTTCGTCGCGTTTATACGACGAAGTTGTAACTTCGTCAATATCGATCGACGAAGTTATAACTTCGTCAAGAATGTTGACGAAGTTATAACTTCGTCGACCGGTGTAACTTCGATACGACATATATATACTTAGGGCATACCAAAAGTAGTGGCACCATTATCTCAATTTGTTATAGACCGCTCGAGGAAATTTTTCTTTTTTTATGAATAGATGGAGTGTCTTTCGTTCTATTATTCTATGCTATTTGATCATTATTCAACTGGTATCATAATAATAAAATTTCGATAAGAACTATTTTTGTTGAAACCTAGCTGGTAACATTAGATCATAACAGGACCTATAATAAATAGCAGAACTTTGTATTGCATATTTCAATCTTTAAATACATTTTATTAAAAAAAACAAAATATACCAAAAGATGCAGCGCAAAAAGCTCAACAATCTACGAAGTAAAGTTGATTTTATAGTATGTGCTTTTTCTGTTCAAAAAAGAAAACAAAACCTCTGTGCGACAAACCTTTAATGCTACAAAGAAAAGGAATTATTCGTGCACCAAAAAATGACCTTCTTCGTAGCGTCGAAGGTTGATCGCACAGAGGTTTTGTTTTTTTTTGAACAGAAAAAGCGCACTATAAAATAAACTTTACTTCATAGATTGTTGAGCTTTTCGCGTTGCATCTTTTGGTATATTCTGTTTTTTTAAATAAAATGTATTTAGAGATTAAAATATGAAATACAAAGTTCTGCTAGTTATTTATTGGTCCTGTTATGATCTAATGTTACCAGCTAGGTTCCAACAAAAATAGTTCTTATCGAAATTTTATTATTATGATACCAGTTGAATAATGATCAAATAGCATAGAAAAATAGAACCAAAGACACTATCTATTCATAAAAAAAAGAAAAATTTCCTCAAGCGGTCTATAAGAAATTGAGATAATGGTGCCACTACTTTTGGTATACCCTAAGTATATATTCTTTTGGATGAATATAGTGAATTATAAAAAATAAAAGCAAATGCACTACGGGTTCTAGTCACGTTATTTAGATACTATTTTTTGAATTAGATTATCTAAGTGATCATTTCTTATTATTAAAATATATACGATCTTAGTTAAGAAAAATCTAATTAAAATGATTGATTGTTATCTATGAATCTATTGACAAATTCATTTATTTGATGCTTTTTGTTCTGAACTAGAAATATATGATTGAATGAATTCTAACACTTAAGTAAAAAATAGTACCTAGATTGAGGATTTGCTAACTTGATACATTATAGTTACTTAAATAGTATCAATATGATAAAAGATAACTGAATACTTAAAAACTTTTTCGCTTTCGGAAATGATATATAAAATTTCTACAGAAAAATAAACCTTAACTAAACGAATAAAAATCCTACATGATACTTTTTGTTTTATATGAACGAAGAAAATACATTAAAGCAATGTATTAAGACATAATCACATTATTTTATCGTTGAAAGCTTTTTAAAATTACTTTCTGTGTCAAAAAAAAAAGCGATGATTGATAAAATATTTATATACTTTTCGATAGCATATATTAGAGATTATGAGAAAATATATGTAATAAAATTTTCTTCTATCAATTTGCTAAAACCTATTACTTTCTCTGAATAGTCGATGAATAAGAAAATCGGTTGCATCTATCATATTTTTAATTGAAAAAGTGTCTTTGTCATTATCAAAGAAAAAAGTCGTCCTGGGTGTTGTTAATCACGCACAAATACGAAGATGGAAAACCCCATGTAGTGCTATTAAGAAAGGAAACACATAAACCTTAACGAAGGGAACATACGGACTGCGGCAGTATGATTTTACTTTTGCGAGATGCATAGAAAATTTGTAATTAGAAAAATTATTCTTAACCAAAAAGAAACGACGAAGAAAATTTTCTACTCTGCGAGAATATAAGTTTGCTGACCAAAGAAAAAAAAATATTGTTTTCATATGCTAAAAAACATAATGAAATGCAATGGGATATAAAAATCAGTACGATACGTTCTGCATAAAACAAATTCTAATCATCTAATTTGAAGAATTCTATCGAAAAAAATGTCAACAACAATTCTTAATAATTCGTACAAAAAATTTCATTAGAATTATTCAATAACATCATCAAACAGATTTTAATTTTAAGCAGCATGTAGTACATGTTAAAAAATAATATTAAGTGAAAAAAAAAATTATTAGACAACCTACAGTATAGTTTTCTTTGAATAGAATGTAGAAAAGATTATTGATTGGTACATAGGTCGAACATACGTGACGAAATTGGTGTTCTACCTTATCATGAACTTTTTTAAATGAAACTAATTTGAGGGAAAGAAAAAAAAACCTTGAAAAAAGCGTCATAGTGTGCACTCATCATTTTCGTCCCTCATTGTATATGAATACACTATATTTTTATAGAATAGAAGATTATCTTTTTCTTTTGTTTAAGAATGATTTTTTTTCCCTAAAGATTTCTAAGAGTCTCTAGAAGTTAGAATACAAATCATATTTCTTTAATTACTACCTGTCAGATCTGAATGCATTTAAACATAATGAATACTACTAAGTGAGATATAATTATTTATATGCTACTTGATTGACGTAAAATATTAAATAGGATTATTTAAGTGCAAAGTACATTGTCGGAATAAAGAATTACAATACGTTCAAATAATTTGTTTATCAATATAACGAAGGACAAACTTAATATAACTTTGAGCTATATTCGCTTAATTTTAAAAAAAACTAACTATTGATTTCAGCAGATGGTAATATATGATGCAAAAGTAAAGGGACAAATGTTGACACTTATTTCTCTTCGATAGAAGGGTATCGGAAGAAAAGTTCTTTTTACCTGAAGATAGAAAATTTTTCCCTCTTTCGAATAGTGTATGATGCATATTTGTCGCATATTCATAAATAAAATGAGATAAGAAACAAAAAAACAAAAGAGCTATTCCCACAATAAATTTATAATTTTTATACGAACTCATCGAAAACATCTTGTTAAACGACAGCTAGTTGTGATTACCTGTTATCAACAAAATATTTTTGCGCGAATGTTTGTCGTCTCGTTTCACTCATTAATATGTGACAAATATGAACTATAAACTGTTCGAAAGAAAAGGAAATTTTCTATGAACTGATAAGAAAAATAATATTCTTTTTTGAAAATTCATCTATCGAAGAGATATAAGAATCAGCACTTTGCCCGCTGCTTTTATAGGGAAGTCCGGATTCTTTTTAAGGATTCTTTTCTTTTCCGTTGCATTCTTTCGTTTATAAGTGTATCTTAAAATTATATGCAATTAACAAGAAAAAATTTTCTATTTTCTAGTAAAAAAAGAAAAAAAACTTTTCTTCCAATACCCTTATATCGAATAGAAATAGGTGCCGATATTTTTGCCCTATTATTTTTGCATCATGTGTTAGTAGTTCTATGACGATAAGAAAAACATTTGAAAAGTTATTTTTATATAAAACAGTAAAAGCAATTAAATGTTAAGTTCTACAATAAAATCTTTATTACATTTATTTGCTAGTTAACAGAAATTATTGATTAATCCACATTTCAATATCAAAGAGCATATAAATTAATATAAGTTTCCTCAAATATAAAATATCGAACTATTAAAAAAAAAGAATATATTTTTAATGTTTCAAACAAGCTATTATTGGCATGTCTTGCATATAACTATGTGTTTGTCGTAGTTTTGAATGATAATTTTAGTTCGTAAGAAGAACGAGTTTTATAGCACACGAGCAAGAAAATATACGAATGATTTATATTGACAGTAACGTTTGTTCTTCTAACACTTAATTATCTAAGTCATCAGCAGCACATAGATCACCTCATAAAAAAAGAAGAAGAGGTATTTTTACATTAAATACGTGGGTGTCATATGCAGTTTAACTAATCAAGTTATGTCACGAACAGAGATAAGAAATTTACCATAGATGATTGGTCTTTTTTAGAATTTTAATTTTTTTCCTTTTTTTTATTTTTTATTTTAGCTTCCAATGAATGTGGATCGTCTAGAAAAATCACTTATTGATCGAATTAAAATAGCTATACGACAACAATTATCAGCAAGACATGTTCCGGGACTGATTTTACAAATACCAGACATTCCAGTAAACATAATTTTTCTTATTAATTTTCATAAATGAAAACGGATAGATTTTTTTTTCCTAAAAGTTAATATCAAAGAGAATGAAAAAGAGTACTATCACTCCTTTAGAACTAAAACTTTGATTCACTCAAATCATTTCTATTGATTAATATTTTTGAACATACGTATTTGATAATTCAAGGTACTTAACTAATATTTTCCTTTTAAATAATAAATGCAATTACCGAGATGTGTCTAAAAAAAACCCAGTTTTAAAAATTCATAATTCAATTTAGTATTCATTTATTGTTTTAAAATATTACGCATTTTCTTTTTTTATTGTTCCTTGGTAAAATCCATTCTAGAAATTCTATTATCACGTATTTTGATGAATGAATGAAAAAAGACAGTTAAGTAACAATAGATAAATTATATGTTGTTCTTTTTTCAGGTTAAATTAAATTTAAAGGATTTTTTTATTGGGATGTAATGTAAATTTTAAAACCTATTCTTTAGTTTAAAAAATAAGATTGGTTAAATCTTTTTATAGATTAGATGATTAATATGACATAAAGATATTTGTCTTGAAATATAACCAATAGATTTGAAAACATAAGAAACTAATACAAGAAATTTTGTTGATGTTTTAAATTTGTTTTTGTCAAAATGATGTTAAGGCTGTTGACCTTCACAGTATATAGCTTCCAAAAACATCACATTGAAGAATACTTTCTCTCACTTTTTTTGTGTCAACAGTAAAAATTGTTATTTTTTACTTGTGCATTATTTAATAAAATAATACAGGAAATAAAAAGAATGGATGATCTTGAAACATCTACACCCTCTTCTTCACTTTTAGTTAATTAAAGTCAAAGAAATATATTTTAGTAAAAGTGCTATTGAAAATAGATAAACTAATTATTAATAAAGGAAATAAAAAGAATGAATGACCTTGAAACACCTACTCCTTCTTTACTTTTAGTTGATTAAAATCAAAGAAATACATTTTAACAAAAGTACTATTGAAAATAGATTAACTAATTATTCTGTGTATTGTTATATTTTAGTATACAATTAATATGAAAAAAGTTGAAGTACCTATTCGTCGTATAATTGAAGGTAGACAAATTCATGCAACTGGTTCATTAGCTAATCCAGATTGTCTTGACTATTATCGTAATATACCTGAATTAAATAAATGGTAATTAACAATTTTAATCTCATCCTTTGTTATTCCTTTTTCTTTCTTGTTGTAATGGTCATAGGTTGATTTTTTTTCTTTCTCCTTTTTTCCATGTCATTTATTCGGATTTACAAATAAACATAATGATATTTTCAAGATTTGATTCTTTGAATACGACATATGATGACAAGATTTTATTGCATGAATATTGTCAACAAAGAATAAATGATTATCATATAGAGTTTTGTGTGTATGTATGAAGAAAAAGAGTGATAAAAGTTATACATATAAGGTTCCAGAAATGCAAAATTAAAGCAGATTTTTTTTTTCTTTTTTTTATATATGATTAGATAGAGCTTGACGAGCTGATCAAGAATATGTGTGTTTTAAATTTTTTGGAGTGAATTTTTAGTTAAAAATTCTCAGTTTTCTCCTATAACCTATTGTCTTCAAAAAAGAAAACAAAAAGTCAATTTTCGATAATCAACCAATTTTCAATTATTTTTCATTTGTTTCAAATTCTAAAACTGTTTGTTTCGTATTCAGCATGAAAAACTGAATCTAAAAAAATCTTTTTAAAATGATTTTTTTAGATTCAGTTTTTCATACTGAATCCGAAACAAACAGTTTTAGAATTTGAAACAAATGAAAAATAATTGAAAACTGGTTGATTCTCGAAAATTGCCTTTTTGTTTTCTTTTTTTGAAGACAATAGGTTATAGGAGAAAACTGAGAATTTTTAACTAAAAATTCACTCCAAAAAATTTAAAACACACATATTCTTGATCAGCTCGTCAAGCTCTATCTAATCATATATAAAAAAAAGAAAAAAAAAATCTGCTTTAATTTTGCATTTCCGGAACCTTACTCTTGCTGACAGTGAAAAATTGTTGTTTATTAAAATGAGAACATTGTAATCATGTATATGTATGGATCATTCCACTGTATATGTGACACTTTATACATGACTTTCTCTAAATCGATTTAAATGTTTCAAATCGTGTAGAGCAGAGCTCCGTGTGGGATGAAATGGGGTGGAATAGAAAATTTTCAGAATCATCACATCTCATGCAAGGCTTTCGAAAACATTCTATCCTATGGGATGCAACAAAGATCTCATTACAACGACAAATTGGATTGAGTAGCCTACTGCCGCCCTTGATAATGGTATGTATTTAGCTACTTCACATCTTCAGAATATAACTACTTCATATACAACATACGCTTATATAGGAGAGAGATAGGAACATAGGAAAGACAATAGAGAGAGATAAAGAAGAAAGAAAGATCACTAGGAAGTGATATCAATGTCGGCACGCTCTTGGGTTTCCATGAGACAAACATCTTTTACAACAATCTTTTTTTTTTATAAAGACAACACAACTGTTTCGAAATAGATGTCTTTCTCATCGAAATATGAACTTAGTTATGATAAAATTATGAAATACAAAATGGAATGATGTAAAATTTAGTAATAGTGTCAGAGTCGAAAGTTTGGAGACAAAACGTATCTTCATATTTTGATTGATTAAGGGTTCAACAAAAATTTCAAAACCTTCAACTAGAATCAGAATTTTGTGCTCTTTTCGAATCAAGGTTCAAATTTTTTGTGGAACCTATAGATTAGAGGTTGTGAGCTAATCTTTGTAAGGTCTTAAACAAAATTTTGAAGGGAGAAAGTTACACTAACAGATCCAAAGGCGGAGAATGTGACCGTATCCTGTTTGACATTAGTTCTTTGATGATTTTCTGCGATTTTCTTTGGCAGTGCAGTATTTCTGTCATAAAAACATCCATATCACTTAGTTCCATTTTATTTTGCTTGGCTGCATCAAGTTTCGAAGATTTTTTGGACCAGCACTTAAACAGCAGATATCCTTCTCAGCAACGATGTTCCCTATAGCATACATTTTATTAGCAATTTTTTTGCACAGCATGAAGGGCAACACGGTGCTCTACAAAGTGCGCTAATAATCCAGGATCTCGCAACAATTCTCCAGAAGTGACCAAGTTCATTTTGTAATTCTGAAAATTAAGGAATTGTAAACATGTCCTGTGACTCTTGCCAAATCTCTCGTCGTCGACAGATGCCTTTCAGAAAACTAATGATCAGGATATTATTCCATAGAGAAATGTTTACATGTATCTAGACCTATTTAATTTTTTCACGATTCACGAAAAACAAGTAAACTACTTTCGAACTTCCTCAAGGGAAATAAAAGAGTTTATTTGTAGACACTTAATACCCCCTTAAAACCATAATAGTTAAAGCAAAATAAAACAGAACAAAACAAACCGAATTAAATTGTATAGTACAAGAGATAGACCCTCGAAGGAAATCTTCTAAATCTGTTCTCGGTATATATATATATTTTTGATGTTTTTTTTTGTAAAGGTATTGTTAATTGTTAATTTTCGTAGTACTCATGTGTTAATTCTATTTATTCGGTTTTTTTTAGAAGCGTGAAAAAAAAAAAAAAAAAAAAAAAAAGAGATTAGCGCGTAAAAATATATAGAACATAAGAAGCAGAGAGTAACCGACTTAGTAGTAAAACTGTACTCTTTAAAATCTCCTTTACCCTTCTTCACTAATTGTAATTTTCTACTTCAGTTAGTTATTTATTTATGTCTGTCGGTCATTTTTTCATTTTTTCTTTTCTTTTTTTTGTTGTTCTTTATATATTGTATTTTTTCTTTTTCTGTTAACCCTACTAATTGGGAACAATAAATTAAATTAAAAAGAAAATAGAGAAATGTTTACTCTTTCGTTCGATATTTTTGAAATAAATCTTGATTTTATCTTAGACGGCTTTTGTGCACTAAAACTCGTCCAAACTTCATTTGCAGACCTTTCAAATACTAACTCATAACTACTAACCTATGAGTCACACAAAAATTTTGAACTTAAATTCGGAAAGAGCACATAATTCTAATGCTGACTCAAGGTTTTAAAATTTCTGCTTGCCCTCTTAATAGGTCGAAAAATGAAGAGATATTGTGTCAAAAACTTTCGGTCCATTCATTATTAATGAAAATGATAGATGTATTCCGAAGATTTTTTAAAATATATGACGAGCGTGAAGTCCCATGGGATGGGTTGGAAAATTTTGCGTTCCATCCCATTCCACATAGGACATAAAATTATAAGGATGTCACATCCCACGCGAAGCTCTGTTTAACGACAAATTGATTGAGTAGCTTACCGTCATCCTCGGTAATCATATTCATTTAGCTACTTGACATGTTCAGAATGTAACTAATTCACGTGCAACACACGCCTACATAGAAGAGAGATGAACACAGGAAAGAACAATAGAGAGAAACAAGGCGGAAAGAGGAAAGGAAGATTAGTGGAAGATAATATCAATATTGGCACGCCCTAGTGTAGAGCATAGTCGATTTTCTTACTACGATTATAAAAGATCCGGTACAAATTGTAATGTGAAAGAGATCAGCGATTCACAAAATTAATGCAAAATATAGCTAATACTATACAAAAACAGTATAAATAATGCTATAAAATGCCCATCATCATATATCGCTAACGCAGAATTTGCGCACATAGTGAAATAGGAGGTTCTATAGTGCAAAATTTGCTCTGTACGTCCAGATATAACACTGTTTATGGGAGTACCAAATAGATGACCATTTTTGCACGAAACTATTTTCTAATTAATCTAATTATAAGTATATATGCTATTACACGATAAAATTTCCATGCTAAAATAGCCCTCTATTTGGTACTCCCCTAAAAAGTGTTATATATGAGTGTGTAGAGCAAATTTTTACAAAATCTGCTATGTCACTACGTGCTCAAATTCTGTGTTAGCGATATATGATGATGGATATTTTAGCATTATTTATACTGTTTTTGTATAGTATTAGTTATATTTCGCATTAATTTTGTGAATTGCTGATCTCTTCAACATTACAATTTATAGTCAATCTTTTGTTGTCATAGTAAACGAAATCAACTATGCTCTACATAGGTTGAAATATGGAAATCAATTTGGAGGAACTCGATGTGAATGTATCACATATACGATGAAATCATCCATATATGATTATTAATTCTAATTGTAATATCAATCTCAATTGATATACATTATAACCATTAATCTTACATTTATATTTACAAAGTGCATAAAAATATTTTTTCCAGAGGTAACGCTGTGATTTCAAATAACAACAATAATAAATTTTATACCAAATTAAAGCGCATCGAAAATAGGATTGGTCGATACTAAACAGTAAGCGTTAAGACAACTTGTCAGTGTCGAATTCAGATAATTCCTACAATTTTACGTCATATCAGCAGAGAAAAATTCTTTTCATGAGGTAGTTGAAACTAGATCTCATTTAAAATGATGAATATCAAAAAATTATATTTATTTCTCAAGATTTGATGAACATAATCAATAATCAGTATGACGACCATTCAAGGTTTTATAACAGGAAGATGATACGAATACGAATATAAAACAATTTCAAATAGTTCAATGTTTGTTTCTATTTTTGTCAAACCATATGAAATCTGGTTTTTTTTGAGCTTCTTCATCATATTGATTGTGTTGCGTGTCTGATAGCCTTTCTTTTCAGCTTCATTTTTAATTATTGTTCCAATATTCCTAGGTCAGGTATGCAGTACTTTGTGATATTCATCATTTTAAATGAGCTCTAGTTTGAGCTATCTCATGAAAGGAATTTTTCTTTGCTGATATGGCGTAAAATTTTAGAAGTTTTCTGAATTCGATACTGACAAGTTGCCCTAACGCTTATTGTTTAGTATCGGTGAATCCTAATTTCGATGCGTTTTAATTTGGTATGAAATTTGTTATTGATGTTATCGGAAATCATAGCGTTACCCTTTGGAAAAATATTTTTACACACCCTGTACAGCGCGTCCTGAAAGTCACGAAATAGACACTAAAAATTGAATATCTCCACCGTGCTCTAATCAAATGAGTTGATTCTTTTTTCTGAGAATAGAGGACAGTTTCGAATTTTTATCTATATATAAATAGCTTATTCTTTGTTATATCCCTCATCTTTTTAATTTCTTTCAAGACCCAAACAAACACACAAATTTCTTCCAAATAAAAGAAAAAAACGTCTCGTATTCAGGGAATCATATGCTACAATTTTTGAGCTTCTGAACCGAATTGAATAAGCCTGTGAACAAGTGACCAGCGACATATGTCGCAAAGTATGCCGTTCTGTTGAACAACGTTTTCGTGATTTTTTAGACAACGAAGAGCAATTTCTTTCGAACTAGTTTTGTTGCATTATATATGAGATATATTAGTTATTTAGCGATATGTAGTACACGAGTTCAGTAATATTGTTTTTATAGGAATGAATTAACTGTTCATTAATGAATAAAAATCTGGAACTGTTCTCTATTCTCAGAAAAACATTAGCTCATTTGATTAGAGTGCAATGGAGATATTCAATTTTTGGTATCTGTTTCGTGACTTTCTGAACATCCTGTGGGTCATATCGAGAAAATGGATTCTTATCTATGTCACAGCTAGTATCTTTCCGTTTTACGCCGGAGGAAATAGAATTATAACCATCGTAAAAGCATTATCGTAATGTTCATGGATTTTTATTGAAAACAATTTGAATTACACTTCTGAACAAAACCTTCTTAGTGCATCATGTAGATTTCGTCTTTTTAATCTAATTACTATTTTCATTAACTTTTTAACTTTTGTTTATTAAGATGCAAAGTACTGTATAGTAGTCAGTCGTGATAATCTAAAGATCGAAGAGTCATACAACTTTCATTCAAAAGTTGTTACAAAGTTTCATGTTCTTCTGTGATGAATTTTTTTCCGAAATTTCGATATGAAGTTCCGTTCATTCTCAATTCGCGACCGCAAAATGATGAATTTGAAACGACAATGCTGATTTTTTTGTTTTTCGAGATAATCAAAACGAGTCTCAGCAGCAACAATGATTTAGATCGAATGTTGCTTCCGTCTTCGAAGATCAGTAATTGCACTTGAAAATGTATTCGTCAGTCTCATATTTTCAAGGAAACATGAATCGTTATGAGTACATGTGGATATAATTGATTTAATTTACTTTCTGATTGATAAAAGTTGTTAGAAGATCCACAGTGCTAGCTAAGTATATGTCTGTTTTCCATTGAATAGACGAAAACCACGTTATAATCTTTGTTTTCAAAAGTATTCTAACAGTTGATGCTATGTGATTCATTGTTTCCAGTCTCGTGAACGTCAAACTTCTTTGTATTTTATCGTCAACAAGAACATAAATTCAATTCAAAATAGATCAATAAAATTATGCTCACTGTTCAATCACAATTCATGATTTCTGTTGATATGACGATACAGTAGTCTTTGATTTTTAATTATTTTAGTTTTGGAGTTTTTTTTGAACCAGATAAGTGACGAACTAATCCTTTTCGAGTATCAAATACCATAACGATTGATCAGAAATGCTCATGAAAAATATTTTGTCTATGACACAACCTATTAGAAGTCATTTAGAACAATTCCATCGTATATACACTTAATTGCAAATACATTTTTCTTCACATCTGCATGGTATTTCTCGTTATGATAGAGAGTCAAAATGAAGTAGAGATTAAAAAACCAATGGAAATAAATGAAAGCTTATGGTCAAGAGTTCTCATGCATCAGTGTACTATAAATTTCATGGATTTTTGATACAATATCTGTTAATTTTTAATTAGCATAAAGTCCGAGTTGCTTCCTAATAATCTATTTGGTGTGTACATAATTAGATATGAATGAAACTCATCATTCTAGTTTGTACAATAAACAACCAGAGACAGTCATTAGGGCAGGACATTCTGATACCTTAACGCTCTGTTCTGCTCTGCTCTCAGGGTAGGGCAAAGTAATTTGCTCTGCTAACGTTTTCTTCATAAAAAAAATCATTTGAAATCGTTTACTAAATGCAAACATGAATCTTACAGAACATGTGTCATCAATGTAATTCCACTAGCTAGTGATAATTTCAATAGAACTTATGTATGTGATGCTCGTACAAAATGAATTCTTTCGATTTCGAAAAGATTCGGTATCTTTTATCAAACTATAAGCGCATCTAGCAAATAATAAAAAAATGAATCTCACTTTCCTACTCAAAGGTGATGAAAGACATCGACTCAATTAAATGGCGATACTCAATCACAAAGAGTCTATGTTTTCATCGACGGATATTTTGTTTTTGTATAAATATGCTACTAGTGTCATGCTTATATACTAAAAAAAAGGCGATAATATTCTTTTGAAATGATATAAGAAAGTTATGAGCACTGCATATAAACATGACCAAAATTTTTCCTTAGGTTATAAAACCATTTCATAGCAGACTTCGAAATCGGGCCACCTTTTTATGACTCGATCCGGACCAAAGTAGTCAGAACCTTGTTCAGACCCGCCCGGCTCGATTCAACTTTTGTTCAGACTGGCCAATCCGACAAATGTTCTAGGCCCGGATCCGAAAGAAACTTCATTTACAAATATTTTTTTTCTAGCTATTTCATATTTTTCGGCTTTTATAAAAAGTGATGACAAAGACGAGTAGCATAGAGAAGCTTTCCCCTATTCCCCTCACGGGTGAACCAGATCTCAGAAAAAATTATGTCACAAAAGGATAAAATCGTCGGGCCGGGCGGTTCGTTTCGAGGTCTGTTCCATAGTCGAACTCAGTTTATGTACCATGCCTGGCCGTGAGGATAAGGTAGGGCGAAAAAAGTGCCTTGTGACGGTCTATGATAGAAATATGTTTTTTCGCTAAATTTTTTGAAAGTTTTATAATCTTATCAGTGATGAGTCCCGCTTGAAATATGCTTCGCATCATGAGATTAGCCTGTCGGTCATCTACAGTTTTGAATTATAAATCATTTTTTTTCATTCTCTTCATTTTGATAGTTATGCTTCTTTGCAATTTGATATCAGCTTAATAAAAAAAACCAAGGTAAAATAAAGTTGTAATTTAAAATTAGTCAATGCTTTATTTTTTATTCTCTTAATCAATAACACTGTCTCGAAATAGATTATGTACAAAAGATGTAGATCGAAATTTGTACAATAAAAATTTATCAGATTACATGATAACTTATCACAGTTGAAACAGATGAGTTTTTTTTTTGCACCTTATCTTAATTATAGATGAACGATTAAAGAAAAATTTAAAAGGATAAAAAATAATCATCATAATAAACTTAAGAAAAAAAAAGCATGGAAGAACAACAGAAAACCGTATAAAAAACAATAATTTATAATTTTGATCTTAAATGATATTGTTCAATTTGTTTGGCTGTTTTATTAACAATATCAATTAATTGATTTAAAACTTGTTTTGGTACATAACAATGAACAGGTAAATAAATAACATGTTCAATTAAATATTCAGCATTTGGACATTTATGATAATCATCTATACTAATTGGTATATTATCAGTATCAGTTAATTGTTTAGTAATAACATTTAATTGTGTTGTACCACGATATGCATCAATATGATATTTAGATAAAATTTGAACAAATAAATCTGGTTTTGAAACAATTACTGGAAATAACCAAAAATTTTTTAATTTACAATTCATACCAATTAATTGTATAGATGATAATTTTTCTAAATTATTTAAAACATAATTTGCTTTTTCTTTTTGCATTTCTAATTGTTTATAATCATATGTTTGAAAACGATGATAAAGAAAAGCAAGTAATGGTCGACATGGTTGACGACGTAATGAAAAAAATAATTCTTCTCGATTTGGAATTTTTGAAAATGCACGTAAACGATTAACAACAAAACTCATATGATCTAAATTTAATAAACGTACAAAATACATTAATGGTTTTATTACATATGGAGCATTTAATAACCAATATAAATAAAAATATTTTTTTACATTTAATGAATATTGTTGAATTTCTTGAATAGGATCTTTACGATATATATCTAACATTTTTGTATATAAATTATAATCAGATATTTTAGCAAGACCACCACCTAATGATGTACAAAATTTCAAAACACCAAAACTATATAAAATTAGATGTGAACGTGGATGACCCATATAACATGATGGTTCATTATTATTTTCTATTCTTGTTGGACAATACATTTCGAGAGCAGATTGATTCGAACTAAAGAAAACAAAAAAAAAAATGTCCATGATTGGTCACAAAAAAAGACTACAATATTCAAATGATAAAACTTTTCATTTTTTTTCACAAATAGTAATTTCAATTAGAAAAAGAAAATTGACGAAAAATTTCATTCATATTTTTACTTCTAACGTTGGCAATACTCGTTTTGTATTACTGAAATTGGAAACTTAACAAAAAAAAAAAAAACTTCAATTCTATAGTTTTTTACTACTCAAGAAAAACATTCAACTTTGTTAGTACGATGAAATTTCAAAAAAAACATATTAAATTACATTCTCTTATGAGAGTAAATGGTCTCAATATAATGGCTTGTATTCAAATCAAACTTTTCTTAACCAACTATATCATTGTAAATGAACGATAGCATTCGAAAACGGTCTCATTTAATCAGAAATTATGCAAGATATAAAAATTACTATTGAATAATTTTCTCAAGCTAAAAAAATAAGGCGACTCATAGGACCTTGAAGAAATATTACGAAACTATTTTCATCAGCTTTCTAGTCAAGCTCAGGACACGTTGAACTATAGCAGAATATCTGTTTTCGATTAGATATCTAGAAGTTGTTTTTAAGTGACTCTTTAGAAAACTACCATAACGATCAGAGAAAATTGTTCGTTTTAAAACTACATACATCCGAGATTTCGAGCTTCAATTGTGTGTTAATAGTGATCCCATCTCCTGGTAATTTTCCTTTTCTCTTTAGCTTATCTCTCTCTGCTATATAAGCATGTGTTGTATATGAAGTAATTCAATAAACATTATTACCAAGGATGGCGGTAAACTATCCCCTCTAGTTTGTTGTTACGAATTGTTCAAGAGTAAGAAGGATTTTTCAGAAATCCTCGATTTTGGTTAATGGATCCTAAATTACGCAAAAATAGGTCTAGAGAGAAGTAATTGACTACACTGAGTCTAGATATCCCAACTTTCAAAATTTCAAATTTTTTTAGCTATACAATGTCAACAGTTGATATTTTGAAAATTTGGATATAACAATTGTAGATCGTTTTGAAATTGAAAACAATCATTAGAAATCGACTGCGCATAGTCAATCACTTCTCTCTACGTCTATTTTTATATAATCTGGGATCTCTAGAAAATCCTCCTAACTTTTCAATAATACAAGTTAGAAATTCCAGATGTGCATAATTTCAAAGATAACAATTTTCTCTACCAAAGACCTATTTTACCATATTGAGTTGGATTTATGAAAATTTTGGTAATTTTCTAAAGACTTACTCGAAAACCTTCTAGAAACCCAATCAAAAAAAAACTGTTCTTCTATAGTTTAATATTCTTCGAGTTCACAAGTTATTCAAGTTGCCGTGACTCACCTTCAACTTTGAAAAGTATAATAATGCTAGTAGAAAAGAAATTATCAAAAAAATAAAAAAATCTAACCTGATACACTTTTCATTATGACATATAGGAAAAAAGCTTGTTAGCACAGTCTCTTCCGTGGAGCTGAAATGTGAAAATCACATTTGTTCTTTAGGCTCATTAAACTATTCCAAAATATGTAAAGTAAAAAAATCTCTCGTAGACTATAATTTTTTTTCAAAATAATAGTCGATTACCAGAGTATGAGTCTGTCTTATTTAATTATTTTTCTTTTTTGTATTTTGTTTTACTTAATTTAAAATTGTTATTATTATAAACATTGAATTAAATGGTAAACAAAACTATTGTAAAAATCCATTATGTTCACAGCATCAGATCGTGATGCTCTATTATAAATCTTAACTCACGCTCTTTATGTTAATTATTTGATGTTTGTCTGGATTCATCAAGGTTAGTGTTTTATCCTATTGTTCGAACAATCAAAAGTACCACTTAGAATTTTACTTTTTTTTAGTTTCATGATAATGTGTTGTTTTGTTTTTATATACTATAGACTGATATGGATTGGTCATATATTTACTATTATAATCCTATAGTGGTCCTCTACCTATATTGTATATCTCAGATTTTTATCGTCGTGTATATTTGTATATATAATTTCAACTGTAGTGCTTTTCAGCATTTGATTTTCATTTACACATTACACTTTGTTTTACATATGTTTTTTTTATCGTACGTATACCTGACACTGTGTACCAATATATGCCGGGATAACTTTTTATATTATGCTTTCTTTCTTGTATTATGATATATAGAACTCATCTGAAGGTATAGTGGCTATGGTCTCTCTATACGAACAGGTCAACTCTATATGTCATAATACAAGAAAGAAAACATAATATAAAAAGTTATCCCGGCATATATTGGTACACAGTGTCAGGTATATGTTGCAGTTGAGTTTGGAATCTAGTTGAGATTGGAATCACTTAGTTCACTTTGTTTGTTTAAAAATTTGTCCAACACATATTCAAGAAAACTTGTTTGTTTCTTGTGAAATTTATATTTAGTATTACTTCTCGGACAATAAAAAGTATCTTCGTACTGTTATTTTGTTGATGAAAAGCCATTAATCATTCTATTTATTGTTTCCTTCTAAAAGTAAATCTTACTCATCATTTTACTTATATTGTAGTTTCTATATCGGTGCTCGGGACATGGGGCATTGAATGATTGGTTGAAACGAAATCGAGAGTACTTGAGCTATTTGTTTCAATAGAATAGATTTTCTCGAGCTGTGGGGCATGGGGACATTGAATAATTGGTTGAAATGGAATCAAGACTACTTTAGCTATTTGTTTCTATAGAATAGATTTTTTCGAGCTGCAAGACATGGGGAAATTAAATGATTGGTTGAAACGAAATCGAGAGTATTTGAGCTATTCGTTTTTATAAAATAGTTTTTTTTCGATGCTCGTGATATGGGGGGATTGAATAATTGCTTAAATGTTTGGTGTTAGCAAATTCGTTGTTAAAAAATTGAAATTGAATAATTCATGCTATTTAGAATAGCAGCCGATCTGATGTTGGATTGATTAATAATTGGACTATAAACGGATTGTTGATAATCTATTCAATCGACTTATTGTGAGAAAGTTTATCAATGTAAGATTGTAGCTTAGAATTAAGAATGCTCATTTTTTTGTAAGAGATTCACATGAAAAAAAAATTATGTAATTTAAAACAAACAGACATAGAATGTGTTTCTTGATTGAATGTTCCATAGCAATGAACATCAATCGATTAATTATAAGAAGATGAATAAAGCCCATAAAATTCTAATATTCACTAAATAAGAATGGTTAAGAATGAAAGTTTTCTATATGTAAGTATTTTAAAATAACTCAAAATAAATCATAGAAGTTCGACCAATCATTTAGAATCGCTAAAATTACAAAAGTTGAATATAATAGTAAACAAACATTAATTATCGTGTGACTCATATTATTAACATGCATTCCAAACTCAACTGAATTCCCATGTCAACTGTAACATATACGTACGATAAAAAAAAATATGTGAAACAAAGTGTAATGTGTAAATGAAAATCAAATGCTGAAAAGCACTACAGTTGAAATTATATATACACATATACACGACGATAAAAATCTGAGATATACAATATAGGTAGAGGACCACTATAGGATTATAATAGTAAATATATGACCAATCCATATCAGTCTATAGTATATAAAAACAAAACAACACATTATCATGAAACTAAAAAAAAGTAAAATTCTAAGTGGTACTTTTGATTGTTCGAACAATAGTTTTTTTTTTCTTTCAAAATAACGATTCAAAACTTTATCACAACAAACATCTACTTTCAGGAGAATAAACTCGATCTCTGAAGGCTGGACATTCATTCAATTCCTACACTTCAAGATGCTATCATATTTGTACATATGTCTATTTTTCGTACAAAAAAAAAAAACAAATAATTTTTTTCAAAGACTTTTGTTATACTCTTTATAATCTTGAAAAATTTCGATGATAATCAATTCTATCATTGTGTCATTTATATTCAAATAGAAATTCTTCTTACTTTTTATCTTCTGATAAACAAGAACAAAATCCAAAAAAACTTTCAGCACAATCTTCAATAAAATAAATTTGTTTTTCATAAGCTAAATTAACTAATTCGGATACATCAGCACATCTTCCATATATATGTGCATAAACAATAGCTACTGTTTTTGATGTTATTAAACGTTTAACATGATTTATATTCATTTCTAATGTATCTAAATTAATATCACATGGTATAACATTTAATTGATGATATTGAACAATTGTTATCATTGATGGAATATTTATTGCAGACATAATTATTTCACTTTGTGCTGGAAATTGATTAGCACGTAAAAATAAATCAAAACCTGTACGAACACATAATACAGGTAAATAATAATGATTTGTATCATGATTGTTTTTCGACCAATATTGAACTAAATTATTAGTTAAAATTTCATATGATGAAAGACGTTTTTCATTACGTATTAAAGAAAATATTGTCCAAAAATCTCGTAATTTTATATCGAGAAATATACTTTTATAACTATCTAAATAACTCGTCATAATTTCAAATTTTCATATGGATGGTATCGTATTTCCTTTCATTATCTTCTTTTTTTACACATTTTAGTGATATTTGTATAGAAATTATAAGCACCTTGGTAATCCTTGTCTGATTGGAAAGTTTTTTTAATCAATTGAACAAATATTTGACTAAATGGGAACAATGGATTGGATTGTTTTTTAGAGGTTTTAGAATTAGAAACGAAAGATGGCGTAATATGATTGCTATGAAAAATAAAAAAGAAAGAATCTTTTTAAAAATATTCATTCATATATATCTATTCTTGACCTATTTGATTAGATGTATGACTTAGTTTTTATTACGATTTTTCTATATCAATAAATAATACAAAGGCTAGATTGTATGAAAAAAGCTTGTTACTGTTTTCGAGAATTGTACTCAACTTTACAACAAATTGACGATGGCGTATATGTGTATGATTTTCCTAGTGGGCTCGTGAATTTCCAAGTGGATGAAAGTCGCTTGCTGATTACCTGTACAACAATGACGTATAAATGCTGTTATTCAAGACGATTTGATGCTAGTAACTATTCAATGAATATTGATTCATTTATTATTATTGATATTATTAGGATATATTCATGAGAATGAAAGTATCTATCAAAATAACATCATACATTTTCGAAAATGATTGCCAATATCTTATAAATCCATATATGTGCAAGAATACCAACTGATTGATGTTTATACCAAAACTATACAAATTTGAAAATGATTGGCAACAATTAAACAAAATAATTATTGTAAAGGACATACGAGTTTATCACAACAAGATTGAATGAAAAGAGCAGCTAAACTTGTGAGTAGTAGAAAGAGAAAGTCCTTCGATTGCTGTCCAAAAAACTCGTAATAATATGAAAAGGAAATAATACTTGTATTCTTTTTTATTATGATTAATGTTGAAAAGTATTTCTCAGAGATCCTTCGAATATTGCCAGTCTCGAGCCAGCCCTGGCATTGCAAGATACTATCATCAAGCAAAAAAAGTAATATTAAACTGTATCATAATAATATAAAATCATATTTGATTATTTTCCTTGAAGAAGACAAGATCAAAATTACTGTTAACATGTTTTTCTCTTAAGAAGAAAAATTATAGACTAGAAAAAAAGCTTAACAACGTAACAACTCATGTTTCAATTCGAATGAACTATAAAAAATTTTCTATAGAACACTGGATTTTTATTCAAGCGAAATTTTTGAGTTTGAATCTAAACTTTCGCTTATATCAAGATCTTAACTGAATTAGTTTGTATAAAAAATTTCAGAACTTTTGGATATGGCATCCTGAAGGTGTGAATATAGCTCATATCCTCTTAGGGTTTTTTTTTCTCTTCAACAGTTTTTTTCCTAACAACTTAAACCGGAGGTCAAAGAAGATAGATGGCTCTCTCGTTAGTTCATCTAGATCTTCAATCCTACAGAGTTATGTCAAACTCAACTTGATACATATAAAACAAATATTAACTTTTCATTTATCTAACGATCGAATGTTGCATAATTGAATGTAAACAGACAGATTGTTTAGTTTAAAATTTGATTTCATATTCAAAAATAATTTATCATTGAATGATTAGATTTTTGTTTGTATTACGCACATCCAACAGTTAAGAGAATAAAAAAACACAAAACAATGTTACGAAAGACCTTATTTACATGTTTCACAATCTTTAGTTCATCATATTCGACAGTTAGTTATTATACTCAAATATTCTAAACACATTTGTAGACGATTGATCGAAAAATCTTTTGATAAAAATTCCAAGTCGAAATAATGGAGATTGACAAATTCATTGATAAAATATTTAGAGATTCATTTATTCTAGGATACCCATCGGTAATAGTTATTGTCCATATAAATTTTTCATTTTATTGGTTTTTTTTGTTTCAATCAATTTCATATATAATCTAAGACAGTTATTCTATATAATGATGTCATTGAATTTATTATGGACATAAATGAAACGCATTTTTTTTATATTGCTGATCTTATGAGAGAAAAATGAATGAAAAAATATCGTTATATTAGATAACTATTCTAAAGATTAAAAACAAAAGCAATACGACCGAATCTAATTTACTAGGCGATTTTGTTTTGGGTTTTTGCTTCTTTCTTTGTTTCAATTGTTTGTACTTTTTTTGTTATTGCAAGCATGGTTTTATTTATAGGATATATGCAAAAACGAAATCGACCGCGTGACAAAGTACGACCATCATTTTATAGCTATGAATAGTAACTTTCTACTTGGTTGATTGTTCTTTTTTTTTTGTCAGTCAATCCTTATACTTTATAACTGTATCATACATTAGAATATGATCAATATCATCCTTCGTTTTATATCATTGATCACAGGTAATACAGAACAAGAAATAAATATAGATACATTTATTTCATAACAATAAAAGTTTCTTTTCTTTAGAATAAAAACAGTAAGATTATTTTTTAAAATCCAATTAATATCTATATAAATATATAGTGTCTGTTTTAGTAAATTTATTAATTACAAAATAATACTTTAACATGTCTCGTATGTATGGTAGAACTAAAAGTAATAAATTAGAGGTGCATGGTACGTATATTGATAGCATGATATAAGTATTCATAATTTATTTTGAACATATAAGTTGACAGCAACTGAAAGAATATTGATTATTGTAATTACAATAAGGGCACTATTTCTAAATGTTATAGAGGATAAATCTAAGAATAAATATTAAAAACCTAAACTCGAAATATTTTTAATATCGTAGTATCGCTTTTCATAAATCTTGCATATTTTTATTAAAAGATTCATTCATATTTCAAAGTGAGGATGTCAATATGAAGAAATAAATTTAAATTCTTTTCGCTTGAATGAACCTTGTTTTTTAGCCCCGAAAAAAAAATCTTCGAAGCAAGGTATGTTGTTTTTTTTTTAACCAGAAACAGAAGAAGACCGAAAATAATTGACTATCTTTCGTTATTTATCTAGTTTTGTGTCTATGATATCTACTCAAATTATTATATTTCAAAACTTTTCTATTTTTGTTATTAAATAGAAGAAAACAAAAAGTTTTACAATCAAAAAATAAGATAGAAGTCCTAACTTTGATTTAGTTTTGTTCATTAAATATCATACAGAACTATCGTTTTTTTTTTTCAACTAAATGTTTGAGTACGTCGTAGAACGTTTTAGTAGAAAGATTAAATATGTACCCAACAACTCATTCGGCTATATATACTCACATGACAAATATTTATATTGTCTTATAAATGATGTAATCATGCAACATGTTTACAATATCCTTAGAGTTTGAAATCATTGATCATGATTACTCATTAATGACATACGTCATAGATTCTCAATAACGTATATCGTTTACTTTTCTTTCTTTCCTTTTACTATAAATTGAATGAAAATAGGCCTCAATAACCTTAAGATAACAGTTTTCTTGTATTTATTAATTAGTTTTATTAGGCTTAAACATTAGCTTAATTCATCAAGGCTTAATAAATAAGAAAAAATATTGTACATTTGATAACGAAAAAGATACTCAATGACATTGTTTATTAGATAAATCATTGCATATATGTACAAAATAAATGTCAGATCATGTTTTATTTTTCATCTGATTTCAAACTTGTTCTTCTGTTATATATTTTCGTTGATCGAAACAACCATGAAATGAGTAGATGAAACGTAAATTTTAAGTGAATATACTAAGAAATGATCTCAAAATTCTCTATAGAAGTCGAAAGATAATTATATCAACCGTACTGACCAAGGATAATTATACATCTATGTTAAATTTTTTTTGTTCTCATACATAAAAAAAAGAGGTAAAGAAGATAGTTAGCGAATGAAATAATAATATTGAAATAGAGAAGAAAAAGAAGAAAAAAAGCAACATCAGTAAATATATTCAGTTGATATTTCGGAAGTCTTTCCGCTTCTGATAAGATGCTGCACGCCGACGACGTAATTAATACTTGTATGTTATATGTTGTTCTTTTTCCAAAAAAAGGATTTGATCATTAAATGGTTATAAATTTAAATTAAACAACTTTTATTATTTTGAAATTTCGTTTATTTTTCTTTCATAGACGGAACCGCTCGACGTCACTCGGACACAGACACAATAGTACAACATATTCATCATATTGATAAGACAGAGGTAAGGTAAGTTTCAATTAGAGGTAATATTTGCATTAATCAATGACATCAGAGAGACCTTAATTGACTATAGTCGATCTGTTTTTCATTTTACGAAGACAACAAACTTGCGTTTTGTTTTAAACGAAAAAACAAGGTCTTTTTTCTGCATATTAAATTTTAATTTGCATTAGTTGGTTTGTGAGAAACTTTTCTTGAATATGCAATATACTTGAAGACATTTTTTTATAGAAAGAAAATGTTTATACTATACGCGCAAAATTGTTATCTCTGATTATAAAAAAATCTTTAAAAACAGAGGAAATATTATACATTATTATTCTGATACATTAAATTTCAAAAGAATTTGTCATGTATTAAGTTAAAAAAGTATATCATTACAGGTCAAATGAATGCGACAGGAACTCGATGTTAGATTAAAAAACTCTCTTGCCGCTAATTTCCTACGTATTATATTAATTAGTGAAATAATTTTCGTTGTCTTTTCTTTCAGGTACCTAGAGACAGTACTCAGTTTGATGAAGATTTTCCACAAGTATTTTGTCAATTGGATATTCTTCGTCGATCAGAAGTTGACTATGCTTATTGGAAAGAAAAAGCTCGGTATTGAAAATTTTAATAATGTCAAAATGAATAAAAAAATTTCATAAATATTTTTTTTCTTAAGATGGATACGTTTTGAAGAAATAGCTGAAAATGTTCTTGGTCGTTGGTCAAAACCGCATGTAGCAACATTAATGCAAACAGCTTTATTAGATTTAAAAGTTTTACTTCAAAATGGCGTTATTCTTCTTGATAATCCAGCTAGTGATTTACCAACAATTTCACGTAGAATTTTTGAAAAAATACTTTTTCAAAAAAAAAAAAAAAACAAATTGAAATTTTTTCCTTTAGAAACCATTACTCAATCATTATTGGATTCAAACTATTTTGGTAATCCAATAGATGCACAAAAACTTGTTTGTATTCTTGGTTTACCACATTTTCATCATTATGAAAAACGTACAGCAACAAAAACTGCTAGTTCTATTAATCTATCAAAACAAGGTCTTCAACCAAGTCCAAGTTTTGTTATGAATACTCTTAATCCACGAGGTTCTGATTATTTTCTTTAATTCTATTTTATTATTTTTCTGTTTCTCTAGATGATGAATATGATAGATCAGAACCAGGTCTTCTTACTATACAATCAAATTCTCCGGCTATGACACCTACAGATCAAGAAGACACAACTAGTGTAACACAACCAACATCAAAAGTAAAAAAAAAAACTAATCGAATTTTAAAATGACATAAAAAGATTCAATCGAAATCGATCTTTATCTAGCATTGGTTAAAATTCAATAAAAATCTGCGCAAAAGTTTAAATAAAGTTCCTGTTGAGAGAGATGATGATGTAAACATAAAAATAATAATATTTCTACTAATTTTGCATGGCTAAAAATTATTTGTTTTTATAAGCAGATAATTAAATTTATTTATTTTTTGTTTTTATTAGGATTACAATACCAAATTACAAAAAAAAATCCATAGTAAAGCAGAAGGTGCATCAATTCTTATATGTCCAGTTAATTTTGTTGATAAACAAGCTATTGTTTTTTTTCGTTTACAAAATCCAATTGAATTATCTGGAATGCTTGAAATAAAAATTGTTTCACGTTTTATTGTTCTTTTAATTGGACCTGAAGAAACTGAAAGACAATTATTACAAATAGGACGATCAATGGCAACAATTTTAACTGATGATATTTGTCGAGAACATGCATATTTATCAAAAGATTCAGATGAAATTCTGAACATGATGAATCAATTTATGCAAGATACATATGTTATACCACCATCTGAATGGGATCCAAGTATTCGAATCGAACCACCAACACAATATACGAGCAAAGTAAAAGAAAAAAAAAACAATAAGGGATGATTTTTTTTTTGTTGAATTTTCTTGTCCTTTGATAGGAACAACGAAAAGCTAAATCATCACAAGAAAATTTAGGAACAGTTGAAGAGATTGATATGACTCCTCATACAGATCCGAACTTGGTAGCTTCAAAAAGGTAAAGATAATAAAATAAAAATATAACTATTGATCAATACTCTTCTTTGTAGACCATTTCATGGCCTTTGTATGGATATTCAAAATAAATTACCATTTTATATATCAGATTTTACTGATTGTGCTAGTTTACAATGTTTAGCAGCTACACTTTATTTATATCTGGTATGTCTTTGTTCAGTCGTTGCTTTTGGTGGTATGCTTGGGACAGCAACAGAAAATTACATGGTATGAATTATGGGTCTTTTTTTGGTCATTTATAGATACTATATCGTGTTCTCATAAAAACTCTAAAAGGATTTGGGTTTGCCGAAGCTGTCGAATATTTTTTTTAGAAACTACAAATTTTCAGAAAACTTGTAGATTCAAATTTTGATCTGAAACTTTGTGCATGTACAGTATTCAACTAGACAAGCTTAAGAATCTTTTCTATGGATAGTGTATATAACATGCATCTTTTGAAAGCTTTATATATCAAAGAGACTTTATTCAAAACTTTTGAATTTTTTATGGAAGCTAGTCTCATTGAGTTCTTGATATGTACAAAGTTTCAAATCAAAATTCGAAAATGAGTTTTCTTAACAGAAACCGAAAATCTCAAATGAAAACATAATTGATTGAACTATAATCAATTTTGTAAAAGTGTAGCACAGTTGGCGAAGATAAACCGAACTTTGCTTGATTGTTGGACATCCTTAGGTTTATTTCTATATAACATAGATCGCTTCTATGGGATAATTCTCTTATTTTCTTCTCTTTTCCATTTCTCCATTTTTCTGTATTATATATTAAAACTAAAAAAATCTAATGATACTTAAGTATTAATATTAAAAACTTTATTTGAATCCACAAGTGTATTAACCAGTATTAATTTATCCCAATATCAACTCTAATGTGACATCCTAATCTTCCGAAAAGAAAGTTCTAATCTATCGTCTATTCCTGATTAGAAGAAACTATGGCTAGTTGAATCGAATCAGAGAAACCTGATTCGATTCGATCTCTATTTCCTAATGTTTCTGAAAGGGACTACGGCATTGATTTAAAAAAAAATACCATAAAAATGCAATATCTCGGCGACAATAATCTAAGAGTCTGAGCCCTTCTCAATTATATTCAGAATTCTTAAAATTTCTACTAATATTTTATATGATAGGCTACAATGGAATGTATTCTTGCTGGATCTGTAAGTGGTATTCTATATGCATTATTTAGTGGACAACCATTAAATATTCTTTCTGCTACTGGTCCAATGTTAATACTCGAACGTATAATAAAAACTATGTGCAAGTAAGTTTGTTATTTTTTCTTTGTTTTTAATTGAAATTAATTTATTCGAAATTAATTCTTTAGAGATTATCGTGTAAATTATCTTGAATTTCGTTTATGGATTGGTGTATGGATATTTATTTTATTAATAATATTTGTTATATTTAATTTAAGTTTTCTTGTTAAATATATAACACGTTTTACTGAAGATTGTTTTGCATCATTAGTTGCACTAATATTTATCTATGATGCTATACGTGAAATTTTAAAAATTCGTAAACTGTATCCTGTTAATTATCGACCACATGTTTTATTAGATTATTCATGTTCATGTTTATTTACTGATATTACTTATAATCAAACAACACTAAATGATACAACTATAGTTGATTATTTATTTCATGGAACAAATTTAAATAGAACATTACAAATTGCTTGTACAAAAGCTGGTGGTTTTGTTATGGGTTCAGGTTGTTCAACACCAGTTTATCATGCTGATATATTTTTTTATTCTGTACTTTTATTTGTTTTTACTTTTTTAATTTGTATGGTTCTTACAGAATTTCGTAATAGTGCATTTCTTCCATCTAAAGTAAGTTAATAAAATAAAATATATGAAGTTAAAAAATATTTTTTTTATTTAAATTTTAGATTCGAATACTTCTTAGTGATTTTTGTGTTTTAATTGCTATTATACTTATGTCATCATGGGATGTATATTTACGTTTAAATACACCTAAATTACATGTACCAACTGAATTTAAACCAACACGGCCACATGATCGTGGATGGTTAATACCATTTGTTGGTAAAAATAAATTATGGACAATACCATTAGCAATAATTCCAGCTTTAATAGCAACTATACTTATTTTTATGGATCAACAAATAACAGCTGTGATTATTAATCGAAAAGAATATAAATTAAAAGTAAATAAAAAAAAACAACAGAATCTTTTATGATTTTTTTTCTCTTTGCTTTAGAAAAGTCTTGGTTATCATCTTGATTTATTTGTTTTATCTTTTACAATATTAATGCAATCCATACTCGGTTTACCATGGTTTGTTGCAGCTACTGTTTTAGCTTTAACACATGTTAATGCATTGAAACTTATGAGTGAAAATTCAGCACCTGGTGAAAAACCAAAATTTGAAGGAATTCTGTATGTTTTTGTTTTTTTATTTGACAAACAAAGAATTTGTTCTTGATTTTAGTGAACAACGTGCCAGTGCACTTTTAATGTCTATTTTAACTGGTTTAAGTGTATTTTTTACTCATATTTTAAGCGTACGTATCTTGAAAATGATAGATTTTTCTATCAATAAGAAAGCAAAACTATGTTTTCTTCGTATATCTTTCATATATGTATGATTTAGAGATTTGCTAAGTCTTCCATTATAGTAAACACATAAAAATAGTGATCATCATTTCTCATGCTGAACTTTAGTTATAGACAGACATCTTGATAATGTCGAAACTGGCTATTATCTAAGATTTAATAAGTTTTGGTTTCCATATTTCAAGGATTTCTCTTCGAAACCGAGTGATAAAAATTTCAGATGCATGTTAAAACTCAGCTAGTCCACACATGAGCTATGTATACTCTAAAAAAGAGTTCAGATCCTTAGTTTATTGCTGCCGAGACACTCCATTTTTAAAGTATATCTTAAATGAATGTCATGAATCCTTATTTTCGACTTTTGCACAGAGATAGATCTTAGCGAGGATGGTTTCAGGTTTTATCATTGTGCCTATTCTAAGATATAGTTCTGAGAAAAGTGTGTCTTTTACATCGCTCATATACACGAGTAGATTCAATGATTTTATGTTAGGATAAAATCAAATCAAACGACTTGAAACTTTCACAATAAATCACTCTTGTTAAAGCCTGTCTGTGCACAACGTTTTCAGTCGAAATTCGAGAATCCTGTTTGTCTGAATCATGACATTCATTTAAAAAATACCGTAAAAGTGAAGCATCTCCACAGCAATAAGTTAAGAACACATAGTTCCAACATCTCTCGTAAGATCTGCCCCTATAACTTAGCAAGGTCTGATTTTACAAAACATTGCTTCTTTATTTCTGATGAAAGCTTCTCTTAAATAATCTGAAAAGTTAGAAGCACATATACCAAAAAAAATCAATTATTTTCCTGTTAAGTTGTAGAGCGCAATCTTATGATTAGTTTAAAATTGATCCGAGCTCTCTAACATATAAAATGGTCGAGCAATCTTTCGAATAAAAAAAAAAAAACTGAAAAAAACCAAGGGTGAAACAACTGATCTTTATTTGTTTGTTTATATGATACATTCTTCTGTAAGTCTTTTTAGATCAGAAAGAGAGTCTGTAATCAACCCTAATCATCTTCCTGACGACCTTTTTTTTCTTTCTTATCAAAATAAATAGTTTTGAGATTGTGTCAGCAAATACATTGAGAGGAAAAAACAAGCAGATTACGTAAAATTTGAAAATTGGCAAATCTCTTAGTATACTTAAATGTTATTCTATTTCTATTGATGAAATCTGTTTGCCTTAAACTTGATGATAACTCTTTTATCATTCTTTCCTGTATAGAAAGTTCATTTGTCTATTTGACTAGGCGTTTAATGAAAAAATAGAGAGACAACACGTGTTGCTTGTGAAAGGCTTCAAAATCAGCACCTGTGCCTGTCAATGACAAGCAGGTGCAATTACCTGTCTAAACCACTGTTTCATGATATACGCGTGCATGACATTATTAAACCTTCTATTACTCAGTCATGTTTTTAACTATCAATCAACAGCCGAACAAAATTTCCACATGAATATGAATGTTATTGAAGTTAACTCATATCATTAAAATTGCCTAAACTGACGATTTTTATTAAAAAATCTTGATTAATCGATAATATTTTTTCTTTTAAATAAGTAATTCTACTCAATTTTTCATCAAATAAAATTCTAGAGAAATCATGACTATTGTAAATTTTCATATAGGATATTGTTTATTCTTGTATTCTCATACGTGAGAAAGATGAACTTAGTCTTTCTTCTCTTCTTATGAATATAAAAATATAAATTTTTTTTCAATTATATGTACTGATGACATTATAGCTGATATTCTTAACATAATATATTTACCACCGACGTTATTATAGATTAAAATAGGTTTTCTAATAAAATAAGCTGGATTATACAACAGACAGAAAAACAAACTAATGACGTCTGTTTTCTTATTCATTGAAACTAATCAGATAGTAAATATTTAGTCCATGCCATGGAAATATTGAAAATATTTTTTAAGAGACAAAATTTAGTTTTTCTTATTTTCAAAAATAAAAAAAAATATATGCGAATAATTTTTCGTCGTTGTTTTTGAAATATCCCGATTAATTGTCAAAACTTACATGATTTTAGAGTCAGAAGTCTTCAGCAAATTAGAATACTAGTGGATTCAATTTTCCTGTTTAATGCGTAATTCGACTTATCCGTCGTGTTTGTTTTTACAAGCATTAGGAATTGTTTGATCTTAATACCAAATTTGTCGGACTTGCACTAACCCAACGGGTTCTAGCTAGCAGTCGAGTCAGACCGCCAAAACCTGAATTTGATATTTAGATCTGGTCTGTAGTGCACTGGCTATGGAATAAAATATTTTTCGAATATCTATTAACATTTAATTTTATTTAGTTAACAAGATTTGATATGAACCATTTTAATTTTATATAAGTTTTCTGATTAATTCATTTTAGCACATTCCAATGCCTGTTCTTTATGGTGTTTTTATGTTTATGGGTGTTGCTGCATTACGTACTATGCAGGTCAGTAAATTATGATCTGTGTTTTGTTTTCCGAATTTTAATTGCATAGTTTTGTGATCGATAGATATTTGATCGTGTTTTATTATTTTTTATGCCACCAAAACATCAACCAGATTATCCTTATTTACGACATGTACGAATAACACGTGTTCATTTATTTACTATTATACAAATTCTAGCACTTGTTTGCATGTTTGTATTCAAAAATATCAAAGCAGTTGCAATTGGTTTTCCAGTATTGGTAAATTTACGTTACTAAAAAAAGATTTAAAAGAAATTATATATATATATATATATATATATGTATATATTAGGTATTAGGAACATCTTTTGTACGTAAATTAATGGATAAAATTTTTACTCAAGAAGAATTATATTGGCTTGATGATATTTTACCCGGAACAAAAGTTAATCAAATTCGTCGTGCTTCGATTCCTCGAAATGTTCAAATACCACAAATTATAGAAACTTTAGATGATGATGATAGACGGGTAAGTATTTTTTTTTTCTTTCTTCTTTTATTTAAAATCAATAATTCTAATAATACAGCCATCATCCAATGTTTTATTTACATTATCAGCAAATGAAGCTGATGATGCTAATCGTGATACATTAGAAAATAATTTACCAAATATAGCTGAGGTCAGTTAAATATACAATCGCATGACAAATGCTATTATAACTATTAAAATCTTCGCAGCATGTAGTATTAATCTTTACTTCTATCTAGGTATCAAAACTACAAAAATATGGTTCTTTATTGATTGATCATTCGAATCAATCATGTATTCCATTAATTGTGATTAATGAAATTATATTACCAGAGGAAACATCAGTCAATACAAGAGTAAATTTTTGAATTTAGTTTTATGCTTAATTTTAAAACCAAAAATGAAGTTCATTTTCTTCTATAAATGGGGAGGAAATAAAATAATTGTCTTTTCAACTAAGAATCATTCACGCATAAACATTATCGTTTATAGGATACACTACAAAAACCATTAGTTAATTTGTTTAGATTATATAAAATACACTAAAATTCTTTGGTAACATTTATTGCAGATTATTCATATATATTGCGTGTGATCTCTTTTTGAGCTTTATCCTTCTAACACAATTGCTATGATTTAATTTAATTATTACAATCAAGAACGGGGAAAAAAAGCTACTACTAATGAAAATTTTTCTTATTTGTTTAGGAAGAAGCTGAACATTTAATACATCGTGAATTATCATCAGAATCATATCGTGATGGCAAATATAAAAATGTTCAGACACTTGTATAGATTATTTTTCTTTCTTGTTTACTTTTCATAGCATATTTTTATTGATTAATAAAATGTATGCTCGCTTATTTTCACTTTGCAGATTATCAATTTTTTTCCTATGCCCATGAATATTTTCTTTTACATATTTAATTTTCATAGAAAAATAAATCAATTGATTTTTTTATATTTAGAAATGAAATTCACTATAAGAGAATTTATGATTTAAACTTGACCGATTTTTTTATCGAGAGCATATCATATCACTTTCAACAGAATTGGGATCCTCATATATTATAGCCATTCAATTCAGTTTTATTAATATTGAAAACAATGAATAAAATCGAATCTTCTCTAAATTATCGATAAAGGCAATTGTAGAATTGAATTATTTATCTTCTCTATTTCACATCTAACTCTTTTATATTTAATGATCCGTATGTAAGAAGAACAATGTTTTCTGTTTAATATAATGTTATAAAAAATGGTTCATGTTGCTCAAATCAAGGGCAGTAATAGCATTTAGCCAGAAAGCAATTAGCCAAAAATTGCTGTTGGACGTCGACGAAAACATCCAATGTTATTATTTCATGACGAATTTAGAATTGCGATGAACAGGCAGCTGGCTGCCGTTCGAAATTCTATTATTTCTCGTAACAAAATGGTATAAACTGGCTTCTGACTGCCTTGGATGAGCTTTGACGAGCCATCTTTTTTTCTGCATAATCACTACTTCTTACGATTAACTATCTTTTCCTTATCTATATTTTAGATCTATCACTTCTGTAATTATTTAGAGAACTAACAGCTACTGGTGTTCTTAAGTCTAGAAATCATGAGAATTTTTCATTTAAAAATTCGAAGAGACTCTGTATTTCCATTTTTACTCAAAATAGAAGCTGCAAATGAATAATCGACTCAACAATTTCTATGTCTTGACTTTATCAGGCATAGTATCATTTTTTACTTTCCGAAAAAGTATTATTGAAAAACAAGCGTCACCAGAGTAATCGGTTTTCTCAACAAAAATACTACAGAATGCTGTTAAGTTTAACACGAAAAGTTTCTATCCAAGATAAATAAAAAGTCAAAGTTGGATGTACTTTCGAAATATGCAAAATTGTTGTATTACGCAAAATATTTCGAAAGTTTTGTCTAAAGAACAAGTGGTGGTAAGGTGGTTTTTTTGTCCAAAATATTTCTGAAAAAGAATCACATATTCGGAATCAGCGTTATATTCTGAGTAAAATGAGATACTTTTTTCTGTCGAAAAGCGACTTTCATTTTTTCACCTGTAATTTCGAACCTGGAGGGGAACCCAGCACTATCATAAAAATTTTTTCTTTAATCTTTTAAATTAATACATCATCAGATGCAGAATTCGATGCTGATTCCGAATTTCTGATCAAAATTCGAAAAGCATGAAGTCTTCGTGGAGAAAAATCTATTTTACTGCAGGATGCTAATAAAAAGCTGTTCTCGGTTGCCAGCATTCGGGAACATAAAAACGATAATATAAAGTCTCAAATGCATGCAGTCGTGCGCCAGTCTGTTTTTTGATCGAAATCATGTAAAAAAGCAATCTAAAGTCAACTTTTGGATACTTTTCAGTCAAATACTAGAAAAAAACAGCGAAAACACGGATTTTTTCGGACCTTTTGGCCTAATATTATAGGATAACGAGATCTGGAACCAATGAGTGGCATATATGGATAGATGCAAATTTTTCACACTCGTTCTGAGTATGGCATCAAAAATAACAGAAAAAATGAAGAATATCGTCAAATATGCAAAATACTTGAATTGGAGTACGAAAGTCATAAAATCCGCACGTATTTTCAGACTATGGCCAACAAAAATTAGTCCTCAAGTAAAATGCACATGATATTCGAAATCAGTATAGAAAACTACATCTAAGAATATCGACTTGATGAAAGACAAAATCCTATCAAAATTCAACCCCGTACTCCCCCTCAGGACTTTTTCAATCTGATTGCACCCGTATTCCCTCTTAGCCAAGTTTTCATGGAAAAAGTTTTTTGATCGAATTGATGTTTTTAGACGCAGTTTTCTACACTGATTTCGAATATCATGTGCGTTTTACTTGAGAACTAATTTTTGTTGGCCATAGCCTGAAAATAGGTGCGGATTTTATGACTTTCATACTCCAATTCGAGTATTTCGTATATTCGACGATGTTCTTCATTTTTTCTCTCATTTTTGATGCCATATTTAGAATGAGCGTGAAAAATTGCATCGATCAGTTTATCAAGGTCCATAGTAGTGCATTGAGACCTGTTGCAGATATAATGAAGATGTACAACAGGTTAATTTCTCAAGTGAATCATTGGTTAAAAAAAGAACAAAAATAATAGTAATAATAATAGTAAATTAAGAAAAACAAATAAAAAAAAATAAGGCGCAAGCGAATCACAACAACACAAAAAAATAATGAAGGGCCAGTAAAAAATAAAATAAAAAACTCTGTTAGAAACACAGAAATCAATAAGACACATCGATTCTCTAAGGATCGATTATTCTTGAAAAACAACTATTATCTGTTAGATATTATTCAATTTGCGTACTTTGTATTGTTATGATGAAGCTAAAGAAGACATGAAGTCCATGACAAATCTCGGCACAAATCGCCACTAGAATTCCGCTCCCAATAATATATACATAGATAGATGAAGGTTTGTTTAAATGTTTTGGTATCTCATAGAAAAATTTCTTTCCTCTCTTATAACAAATAAAAAAGGGTCAAAATTGGACTGATAGTCAAGCAGTATCAAATGAGTATCAATCTAAATGTTCACAACAATAGCTTAAGTGAGAGTGAAGATATATAACAGCAAACTAAAAGATATTTTTGCATCATCTAATTAAGTAACCGGGTGCCGACGATAAATGGTCGTATTTTGTATCTTTTTTTCTCAGTTTCTAATATGTTTGTTGCAAAAAAAAATACATCAGAAGATGGAGCGGCAAAAGATCTATAATAGAAAGCTTATTTTATATATGGTCCTTTAGTATTCAAAATCAGCAGATTTCGAAGTGAGTGAATTCTGATGTAGCGAAAAAATTATTTTTTTTATACATGATGAATTCTTTTTTTCTTTATTTTCTCTTTTCATCATTTTCATCCATTTTGAACACTAAAAGATCATATATAAAATAAGCTTTCTATTGTAGATTGTAGATCTTTTCACGCTCCACCTTCTGATATATTTTTTTCAAGAAACATATGAGAAATTGAGAAAAAAAAGATAGGAAATAAAACTATTTATCATGGACACCGGTTACTTGATTAGATGGTACGAAAAAAAGAATGTCTATCATTTTGCCACAAATCAGGTTCTCTGAATTCATCCCTAAATGAAATCCACATTTGTGGACAATTCATCAATTAACATCTACACTGGTGACCAAGTAGGGATTTTAATTTAGGGATTTTTTTTTCATGGAATACATGCAATTCATAACGTAACTCAATATTGTCTCGCTTCAACCGAACGAAAAAACTTGTACTATGGAAACCAAATACTTTAGCTAAAATTCTACTGTCTGTAAGCCTATTCTGGTCACCAGAATTGTGTTATGCTCATTATCTATGGGATACAAGAAAAGAAAAATGAATTTAGGTGTATATGTAAGAGATCACAGAGAATTAACGCAACATAATTCTGATCATCAGAACAGACTTACGGACAGAAAAATCTTCGCTTCACCACCTGGTTTCATAGTGATTTGGTAGGAATTCTGCTGCCGATAGTCTATTCTGGTCACCAGAATCGTGCTTTAGTCATCCTCAGTATTCGCTTATATATATGTTTTTAAATTCATTTTTGTTTTTTTGCGCCTCATAGATAATGAGCATAACACAATTCTGGTGACCAGAATAGACTTATGGACAGAAAAATCTTCGCTCAAATACATGGTTTTCATCATACTTTAGCAAAGGTTCTACTATCTGTAACTCTATTCTGGTTACCAGAACTGTTTTATACTCATTCTCTATTAAAAACAAGACCAGCAAAATAAACTTAAATGTATATATAAGTGAGTACAATATGAGTATAACACAACTTTAATGACCAGAATAGGCTTACAGACAGTAGAATTTTAGCTAAAGTATTTGGTTTCCATAGTACAAGTTTTTTCGTTCGGTTGAAGCGAGACAATATTGAGTTACGTTATGAATTGCATGCATTCCATGAAAAAAAATTCCCTAAATTAAAATCCCTATTTGGCCACCAGTGTAGATGTTAATTAATAAATTGTCCACAAATGTGGATTTCATTTAGGGATGAATTCAGGGAACCTGATTCGTGGCAAATGATAACCTACCTTTGTAATAGAGGTCAATTCGTGCTCCCACGTCGCGACACTGAAATAAAATATGTATTGCACTGGCAAGAGTGGTTTTGGTTAGTAGAATACTCTCATCATCGAATTTTCTTTGAAAATAGTATATGTAATACGCAGTCAGTCACATCGATGAAGAACAATAACTATCCTAGATTGACGCTGCACATTGGCTACAAAACTATTGAAAATTTGCCCATTAAATCTTCTAATTAAGTGGAAGGTGAATTCAATAGTCTAAACTCGAATATTATCACCGAATTCGTTTTCATGAAAAGACATTGGCCAAGTTTTAGTTGTATAAATTGGTTCTTTTTCTGAGAACTAAGTTTGCTAAACAATACTTCTTCAATAACTAGCTCATTGAACACCTGATTTTATTCCAGAATACGTATACTTTTCAGCTAGACACTTCGAAACAGCTTCCAAATGTGAGCTAAAACATAATATTGTTTCCGTTAAACACATCATACAGATTGTATTATTTGAGAAAATGATATTTTGTAGTTTTATTAAAATAAAATAATATTCGAGATTAATTAGTTACAACTTAGAAATGAAACAAAACTGAATAATTATTGTCTTTTTATAAAGAGTTGAAAAACATTAAACTGGTTCGATTCTGAAATAGAATAATGGAATAATGATTATCAATCTTGTTCAATACTTGGCTTAGATTGATCTGGATCTGGTGATGAGTTAGTATTTGCATCTATTTCAGTCGAATTTATTTCTTGAAACATCTCTTGCTCGGAAAGTTGTTTTATTATATTACATATATGATGAGCTACCTCTGACTGATTGTGCTTAGCATTTCCAAGAAAAGCATCATGATGAGCAGGGAGTTGCCAACATAATGGATTGTCAAACAAGGTTTCTTTCACCTTTGGATAGGTTATTGTCCAATTTTCTCCCACACTGGTAAATAGATGTGTTTTGCATACATAGATGGATTCCACTGTTGGTGATTCCTGCAGTATATTTAAAATATTGTCCTTGTTTGGACAGCATACACATACAGATACATGAATTGGCGAAGTCGAAAGTAATTCAATAAGGTCATCACGTGAATTGAAGAGCTGGACATGGTTGTTATTATTCGCAACAACACTTAGATGCTGTTCGTGTGTGTCAAGAAAGGGAATAAAATAAGTAATCGAGGTTGCCATACAGGTAAGGTACCATTTCTGCTCGCAAAGCAATGCTTATATAAATTGTATGACGAAGGAAGTGGTTATGCATAAAAAAGTAACTCAAGAGCAAGGTAGAATGGACCTAATTTCCATGGCAAATACTAATCACTCATGCACGATGAAAATATGCTCTAGTTTGCATCATTTGAATAAATCTCCCTTCCCACGAGCCATATTTGCAAACCTAATATATCGAGTATCTCAGATCAGAGAAAATCGAAATTTCTAAGTAATGTTTGTCATGAAATTGTAGTAATCATGATTGCAGTATGACGAAATGATCCAGTGATATGCTTGATAATCGATGCGAAAGCACTTCCAATGACTGTTTTTACTCGAAAACAGTAGTGAATGGTGAGCTTGTTGGAAAAAAAAAAGAATAAATTCAATGAGTCATCACCATTACAAGAGGATCAAGCATCCATTGATTATTCTCGTTCTTTATTGCAATCACTTAATTCGAATTTTCTAGATGGATTTGCTAAAAATAAAGAATTCTTTTTTTCACACAGACCATTCTTGCAGGAAAGATATTATTCAAGCAATATTGTGCAAAAAATGCATAAAATCAAAACATAAGTGTACGTCAAAAATCTCTGAAATGACATAACTTACGTTGTGTGAAAAATGGATCACTTTCTGAAAATTTTGGTTCATGATATTCGAGAACACTATTTTCTATGAAATTTACTATTAAATAGTGATTGTAAAATTACATTCGAACTTCTTGCTACTCTAGAGAGTTCGATAGAATGATATGTGTTACCAAAGGTGAGGTTTTGCTATAAATTTCGATAGGAGAATCGGTAGCATCTTATAAGGTAGCATTCCCAGGTGCCAGAGCAATTTTAAGTTGGAGTTTGGCGCATCTTGTAGTCCATAGTGAGTCGTGTCTATGGTTTAAAAATGTTGAGTTTCTGGCTTGTTTCTAAAGAGATATCGAGCTCCTAATGAATTTTCTCTAGAGTACGCCTACATGGGTAGCAAAGCTATACTTTCGAATTTCGAGCTGAAACTTTGCCAGTATAAAGACCTCAAGCTAGAGTAGTTTGCATAAGAAATTCTAGAAGTGTTTTGAATAAAATCTCTCTAAGACACGAAGCTTTGAAAAAAATTAATACTATGTGTATATATATATATATGTTATTTATGAAGAATGGACTATACCTTGATAGTTTCATATCTTAGAGAGATTTTATTCAAAACACTTCTGGAAGTTTTTATTCAAACTAGTCTAGCTTGAGGCCTTTATGTAGGCAAAGTTTCAGCTCAAAATTCGAAAGAACAGCTTTGCTACACATGTAGGCGTACTCTAGAGAAAATTCATTAGGAGCTCAATATCTCCTCAGAAAAAAGCCGCAAATCTGAACTTGTTTTACCATACACACAGCTCGCTGTGGACTATGAGATACGCAAAATATGGCTGACAAGCGTTTTGGCACTCGGGAATGTTACCTTGTTAGTATGTTGCTGTAGGTAGGACTAAATCAATGAGGAAATACAGAATGTATACAAATCGAACAATGAAAGGTTGTGTTAGTAAACATTTGAACGGAAAAAAAATATGATGAAACAGAAATAAAACTGAACTCATTTAAACAAATGATTTAGAAGATTATATTGGTTCGAAAAAACTATTACATCACACCGTGTTAAAGATGCAGAATATTCGACAAACCACAAAATTAGACATAAGATTTAGTAGTAGAAAGTGAATGAAGTGCTTTTTGATAACATAGATTGGTAATACCAATATCATCTGTAGCTTCATGTTGCAAAGCTTCGTTAACAAAACAACGCATACTTTCTATGCTTAAAGTACGCATTAGTTCTTTTTTGTCTTGAACTAGTTTAATTTTATTACATTGAATATTCATCGGTTCATTTAGTTCTGCTTCATTTTTAAGAGCAAGTATACAATGGATAGAATCATCAGCCAATGATGATTGTAACAATGACAGTTGTTCAACGAAGCACATCAAAATTTTCTTACAGGATGTGTTCGCACTTAATTTGGTTAACATATCATCGATATCTGAACAAAGTACAACTTGATTATGTAATTCGTCCATCGGAAGATTTAATTGGTTATGAACGAATATGTTGACATTCATACTCATAGTTAGATTTTGTGTTATATTTTAATAAGTAATCACTTCAAAAAAATGTAGCAGAATGCCAGATTCTAAATAACGAAACTATGATTGTATTAAGATATTTTGAATTTATCTAATATTTTTCAATTTATTCATTCGAGTATACTTTGTCTGACAAAAAAATACAGACAAGAGAACTATTCTTACTATGATAAAAGAGCTTTATACAATCTCATAACGATTTTAATATCATTCTTGGCTAAATTCTACTTAATCGACTCCTGTTACCTTGAAGTACTGATGTTCATTCATATAGATATCCAAGTACTTGTTATAGATGTTGAAAAATAATTCTTGTTTTTGTACTAAATCGATTATATCATCACTATAAATAAACATTTGGAGAAAGGTAATTATATATTCGAATAGCGCGTGCAGTTCTCTGCAACTCTTTATGCGCGATTTAAATTGTATTTGTTTATAAAAAATAAATTAAAGAACAATGAAGGCACTATCATCGTCAAATTCTCCGATTACGTTCAATTCTTTTTATTCCTTTTATTCATCAGATAAGTAGTAAGTCAAAAATAACAAAAATAACGGATAGTAGAGTATTGCACGCGCTTTCAGAATATATACCTACTTTTAATGAAGAAAACAGTATAAAAAGGTTGAACGAAAAAGAGTGAAAAAATGCATTTCCAGGAAATCTGACGAAAAGAGTGCCTTCATTGTTCTTTAATTTATTTTTAATAAACAAATGCAATTTATATCAAACATATATACGCTTGTAGAGGACTCCACGCGCTATACGAATATATAATTGCTTTTCTCCAAATGGGTGTGGATGGGTGTGGGTGTGGGTGTAGTGTGTGGGTGTGGGTGGCGGGTGGGAGTGGGATGGGTGTGTGTGGGTGGGTGCGGGTGTGGGTGTGGGTGTGGGTGTGGGTGTGGGTGTGGGTGTGGGTGTGGGTGTGGGTGGGTGAAGACGTCTTCTCCGACACACCCACACCCATCCCCACCACACCCACAACCCACACCCACATCCACCCACATTCACACCAACATCTACACCCACCTACCCACCCTCTTAACGAAATATCTTGAAGGATTTTGTTCTATATAGACTTAATTTTTATTAAAATAGAAAACGAGATGATCCGATGTTGACAATGCGTTATTATGCCGAGTAATATGATAAATATTTTTCTTTGCATGTTTGAATTCTGCTCGAGTTTATTACAGAGTAAAAAATTATACAGTGACACACAAATGTATTTTATTCAGCAAAAAAATACTGTAGAAATAATTGAAATATGTGCGAAAATTATTCCTGTTAATGACGTTACATGATCATGAAGTATTGACGCTATGTATAAAATTTAGCAAAGTCCAAAGAACGACATGCCCGATCATAGCACAAATTTGCGAGGCCATTATCGTCTGTTTTTTTATGCTTTGAGGCTTCTTTGACATGACAAAGCATACTTTCCATACCTAAAGAACGCATCAACTCCTTTTTATCATCAACGACTTTAATTATATCATCATGATTGCTGCAGGATGTGTTGTCGTTTTTTCCATTTTTCAAGGCAAAACCTTGACGAATAGAACGATCTGAAAATACCCATTGAACGCTTGACAGGTCATCGAGGGAAAATACCAAAATTTTGTCAGGAGCAGGATCATTCCCAAGCACAGTCAGCAACTCCGAAATCGAACAATGCACAATTCGATTCTCCAGTTCATCTAATTGAAGATTTGGTAGATTAATCACAATTATAACACTACTGATATTGTAAGAATTTGTTGACATATTTTGATTAGAAACTGACTCTAAAATCAATAAACAAGTCTTATAGTTTCACTAGAATGCTCGAATTTAAAAAAAATTAATGTATTGATGTATTGTCTCTCTCATGTAGGACACGATGTTTAGTTTTATATTTTTGATAGTGCAAAAAAATTGACAAAACTCATTTTTCTTCCCCAGTCTATAACAATCGCAAAAAACCTTTGCAATAAAAGGAAATTCAATATGGAGCGGAATTTGTTCATGTCAGCTCTTTTTATTTCAGCAATTACAAGACAGTAATGTCGTAACTGCATCGCAATTCAGTTGTAATAATCGAAAAACCTGAACATTAAGATTTTGTTGAATAACATGATTTCAAAAAGATTTTCGGGGTTGGAAGGTTCAATTTTTATACTCGATGCTACATTAACTCCAACCATGCAGAAGATCAGAAAATCGAGTAGATGTGGGACAGAATGTTACTAAACGACTCTAATCTAGGAGATAAACTTTTGAAGGTTTTTGTTAGCAAAATCTAAACGAAACTTGTCAATATTTATCAATATAAAGTTTTTGTAAAACTTTCCCAGTAGCGCATGTAACTATTTCTTCACTTACTTTTTGTAGTTTTGTTTTTTAATGCATTACTGGAACTGAAGAGGTAAAGAAGTATTTATAGAGAGTGTGCATAGCAAAAAGTCATGCTGTAACAGAAAACGCTGTAATTTCCACCAATGAGTAATCGGAAATTGCAGGCTTTTTCTAAAATAAGTAGGAAGACGGAAAAAAACCCATAAAAAATCCATGTGTGTTGTTTACATTCAAGTTCATTCTTTCTCTTTCTCATCTATAGTATGACAGTTCAAGGAAAGTATTACTGATTTATGTAACCAGCACAACCACACAACTGGGTGTGGGTGTGGGTGTGGGGGTGTGGGTGTGGGTGAGGGTGGTGGTGGGGGTGTGGGTGGGGGTGGGTATGGGTGTGAATACAGAGCATACCGGCATCCACACTCACTTCTACCCCCACACCCACACTCACTTCTACCCACACCCACACCCACTCACACCCACACTCACACTCACCTACACCCATACCCTTCTATTAATCATGACAATACATTCGTTTTACTTTCTTTCGTTCTGTATACTTCTTGCTTAGTGTACAGAAACTTTTGCTCGTTCGTTATCGTCGTTAAGTGAGCAACACTCTTGAAATAACAAAATCGAACGAGACAAGAAGTCCTTGAAGTCGATAGCAATAGGGCAAAAAAAACGTCAATAAAAATAATAAACAGTTCTATAAACATGGAAAGACAACGTTGTACTTTTGCATTCATTGATTTATTCATTGCTCAGCCCCTGATGGACAGAAAAAAGTCGACAAAAACTTCTGCTAGTGGCGTAGCAGCGATGACCATGATGTGAATGTGGGTGTGCGTGAGATTAGCATCAAAGTCCTATACCCGCACCCTTGCATCATTTTGCAATGCAAATGTTAAATACCATTTACTGAAAAAGTCAGGATTTTGAGCATTTCTTCGCTTGATTATATATATTTTTGTGTAGATAAAGGATATACGTAGAACCTAATTGTTAACAGAGCATGATTTTTACATTTAGAAGAAGAAATCTATCATAATAATTAGAAAAAGAATATTTTTAGTTTTCCTGGCTTTTTAAAAATGTCATTGAAGATTTTAATGTTTTTTATGTAACGTGGATAAAAAACGAAAATCTAATGTCATTTCTATTCTCCTTCAGTGAATTACAACATTTTTTCTATTGTTTTAGTCCATGTGTATTGTCGTCCGATCGTCGAACGTTTTTCATTCTCATCAACCGTTGGAGAGAATCATTGGAGTGCACAGCACTTCGAATATCCACTTTCAAAGCACATTTCATTTTCCTCTTTCTGCCTGTCCTTCTTTTTTCATCGATCAGATAGCCTCAAATGAAATGAAACGATGTTGTTAAGTTTCGATTCGATGCAAGTGGAGGCCATTTCTGACTCGACAGCATCCACCATTCACTGTTTACTTTCATTTCCAACTTATTGTTTCAGTTTTGTGATTGTTTCTATCCCAGTCAGACAAAAATTTCGAAAAACGCGTTTAAACGCACAATCGGGAACCGCGACTGTGATCCATTCATGCTCATTAAAAAAACGCACGAAAACGCGTTTATTGGCGTTTTTTGTAATTTTTTGGGCATCAAAACGACGAAAATTCTAGTTTTTGAGTGTTAAAACGTATTGTTTTTAAGTTCTAGAATAATAGTACGTTTTAACGCTCAAAAACTGGAATTTCCGCCGTTTTGACGCCCAGAAAGTTACAAAAAACGCCAATAAACACGTTTTCGTACGTTTTTTAATGAGCGTGAATGGATCACAGTCGCGGTTCCCGATTGTGCGTTTAAACGCGTTTTTCAAAATTTTTGTTTGACTGGGTAGTTATATATCGTCTCAGTTAATGACGGATGATGATATTGACTTTTCAGCCAAATAAGAATTGTTGTATGATAGATATTTATAAAATTGTGGGTGTGGGTGTGCGGTGTGGAGTGTGGGATGTGGGTATGAGTTCATCTTCTCTCAACCCACACCCACATCCCACACGCACCCACACCCTCTATATACTATTCCTTTAATTTTGTTCCTTTAAGTGTATATGATGATACTAGGTCTCATAGTCCCTAGGACGAATACGATGCGCTCAACAACATCGCATCCTTTCAGTGGAGGGTCAGCGACGTTTGCGTCGCGTTACTTGTGTATCAAATACAGCATGTGATAAAAATAATAGGCTTTCTAATTTATTGAGTTTTTACGTGTACTTCTAATATTGATATATTTATTGATAAATTTTATTTTCGTGTTGTAACACCGTACGCAGTATTGATGTGAACAAGCAACCTATAGATCGTGTAGCAAGAGGTATTATTTTTCGATGAAGATTTGAAAATGTACGAGATGAAATAAATATAAGTGTGAAAGAGACAAGCGTCTAGAATACAATGATCTTTCAATACAAATAATCCATAGAATGTTATTTTTGGTGATAGATATTAGAAATTCAATATACTTGTAGCTAGCGACATCTTGATGCAGAAGGTTTTCCTAGGGTTGAGATAAGCTGCACACACTTGCATGTATGTACACATACAAAATCGTCATTGCAAT